CCTCCCCAGCATTTTTAAAAATAATTATCACTCTGAAATCCATCATCAATGAGCTTAGATGTAGTTGTCTACATTAAAACATGAAACCGCATGTACATTGTACTCTCATTCTGCGAAGGCGGTAGTCTCTCAAGAGTGATACCACGTAATTTACTGGCAGCCAGATGTTTTGAATCGGGAGGACGGCTGTCAAACTCAGATATGGGTTTAACACGCTTACGGCATCTGAAAAATCAAAACACAGTACACACCTGGCATTTTCATGTCAAAGGTCATACGAAGGTCGTATGAAGGTCATTCAAGGTGATACAAAGGTCACATCAAGGTCACATTCAGATGGAGATGCCCTAGCATCTCTGATAACCCTATGAAACATTTCTCCAGAACCATTCACATGGATAATTGGTATGATGAGGGAGATACTCCCACCCAGGAAAGGTACATCTATTATTGACTTGGCAAGTGTGGGATTGATGTACGAACCTAATCCATTACATTTATACCATGATTTGAAAAACCATGAAGGAAAAGAGGTTGAATTTATCCTAGAATTCAAAAAAAAAAAAAAAAAAAAAAAAAAAAAAAAAAAAATTGAGATCTTTTTCTGTTTTTACATTTTGAACTTTTTGATCCTCCAAATTCGTGTCAGCATGTTAGCAAAAATCCCACACATTTTATCAGTAACAGTATTATATTTAGTGGAATGTACAAAAAAAGTACTAGTAGGACTGCAAGTTTCTTACTCAGTCTACCTCACTGGTAAAAATAATTTCAAGTCCTGTTTCTCTTCACTTTCAATGCAATAACCTGTACTCATATATGTGTAATAACATAATGTAATTATTTTCATGTGAAAGTGCATCCTATTTTAAAGAACACCAAAACATTTTTCATTAATAACAGAAAGAAATGTGATGTAAGAAATATTTGGTTGCAATCACCAGTGGAGTGACTAGCCAGACATGTCAGTTGTGATAAAATAATCTTTTATAAGAACTCTATTAAAAGTGACCATGTGCATTATGTTTTGGAGATGATCAATGGACAATTACGTACTTCAGTAACCCTGAAGAGCTCCTTATGAAGAGCTGTCGCAGCCACAGAAATACGGAAAGGCCTGCGGGCACTTTTTTAAAAACTTAACAATTTATTTTTGTGAAATATTTCCATAAAAAAATTTTGATGAAGTTCATTTTTTGTGAAACATTTTTGGTTTGAAAAATCGAAATCAAATATAGACCAGTTGAATTACTCTCTGAGCTATTTCCTAAACCTATCCCGAACACTGAATGGTCCTTTTCCAAAACTTCATGACAAATTCTGTGATAAATTTCATTGTAACAGAAAGCTGATCTCTCTGTCTCATAAGTATTTGGTTTAACCTTTCAAAGAGCCTGAAAATTTCTTTTTGCCCAGTCATAGTTAAATAATTTTTCTAAGTTCATCAAATTTCACAAATCCAATTATCATGAAACCTGACAAATTAATCTGATTCACTTTCAAACTGAAAAGTTCACTCACACACCATCAATTTCACTAAGTCCACCTACACATCCATTTGCTTGTTGACAAATTCACTTGCCAAATACAAATCCACCTCGTTGACAAATTCACTTGCCAAATAAGAATTCACCTGTCCACTAATTCACCTGCCCACTGACCAATTCACTTGCCCACAGACTAATTCACTTCAGTTCACTTGTCCACTATTTCACTTGCCCACAGACTAATTCACTTTAATTCACTTGCCCACTGTCTAATTCACTTTAATTCACTCAGTTCACTTGTCCACTATTTCACTTGCCCACTGTCTAATTCACTTTAATTCACTTGTCCACTATTTCACTTGCCCACTGTCTAATTCACTTTAATTCACTTGCCCACTGTCTAATTCACTTTAATTCACTTGTCCACTATTTCACTTGCCCACTGTCTAATTCACTTTATTTCACTTGCCAACTGTCTAATGCACTTTAATTCACTTGCCCGCAGACTAATACACTTTAATTCACTTGCCCACTGACTAATTCACTTACAGACTAGTTAACTTGCCCACTTAAATATTTACTTGCTCAAGACATCCATTTTCCCTAAGATTTACTAAGACACCAAACACCTTCCTTTGCAGACTAATTCACTTGTCCACTGCCAACTAAAAACTTCACTTGGCCACTCACAAATTCACATTGGACTCTCACACTGTCTAATATCCAGTTAGTTGACATTATACACAGAAACATCCCAGCACACATGGATACACACTCACATCTTGTTCATCTGCTCATATATAAAGACATTAGTTTTTCAAAATCAAATGCAAAGAATGAAAGTATTACTGCTACAAATGTAAAGGCAAAATAGCAATCTTTTGAAATGTGAAAAGATCGAGCAGTGTGATTGTAATATATAAATATGCCATGTTAATGGTCTTTACGATGAAGTTTTTAAAAAACTTCATTATAAATATGATTGCCTTTTAAAAGACAACAAAATTTGAGATCAAGTTTCTTGGTTTATAGAAATAAGCTATGGAAACAATTTGTAAAATAAGTGCATATGCATACATACACTGATTAAAAGAAAAATAATTTTAAGCAAAAATTTAAATGTGTGGAGTATTTCACATCAATCTGCTCATATGCCTCTAAATTTGCAGCATTCAATGCAAAATTGATAATATTAAATACATTGAAGGGGCATTCACATTAAAAATATAAACCAGACCAAAGGAACTGCAGCTGATTCACAATTCTATTAAAGAGATCACAGCCTTTGATATGGTTCATTTTTTATTGGACTGCACCCAAAACAGTCACATATACAATTACATGCTTATTTTGTTCTGCTAGTTTGACTTACTACATGATGACTCATATGAGAATGGCAGCCATCTTTGAAAGAGTTACAATCAAAAATATGAAACCTGGCTTGTGATAGGAGCAGTTCACAACCAAGTGGATCCATGGACTAACTGAGCACACCCACTTGAAGGCATGCCGCATAATCCCCTAAATGATTCCCCAAGGGAATTGTGCAGCAAGCTTTCAAGTGAGTTCCACTAAGTTTGTTAGTCCCTGGATCAACTTGGTTGTGAACGGAGCCTTAATGTGCTTACATCACAATACCTTTACCATGTTTATGTGTTTAAAAAAGGGACATGTTTAACCACCTCTGAAACCTGAATACAACAGATTATATAGAACTGTACTGAAGTTGGGCAAATAATAAGCCATAATAACTACTTTTGCAGATGGCTGACTTTCTCATTGAAATCATATGAATGAGGAATGATGAGTGTATAAGTGTGAGCAATATTATCCTTTCAAATGGTAGAAAAATGAGGTTGAAAAGGAATTGATGCACTGCTAGAAAAATTGTTTGGGTCTTAAAAGTAAAATAAAAGCTTTTTTTGCAAAAAGTAAATAAATACAAATTAGAACCACCACTGACGCTTCACTTGAAAGATCCAAGTTTTTTACTCTGGCTGGAGAACCAAGTGCAATTTCCAGCTGTCAAAATGAACATTTTCCAATTAATTCATCTAATTTTGTAATACAAAGATAAAGATGGAATTTTATATACATCTCTCTCTGGATCTTGCTTTTGGAATTGAGTTCACAATGTTTAAGCCTTATCACAAAACTTTCTTCAGGTATACTGAGGTCAAGTTGTCATCATTGTCACATGGTGAAAATCTGCAAGGGATGCCCCCCCCCCTCCAGAGTCCCTGATTTTAACAGTGATGTTCATTTCAAATATAAGACCTAGCACAGAAGGTTTTGAGAGAGGGCCTAAACACTGCGACCTCGATTCCTTCTTAATCTTTGCATAAAACATTTAGATGAACCAATTTGAAAAGGTTCTTAATTTGTGGAAAAAAGCTTTTATTTCACTTCAAAGATCCAAACAATTTCTCTTGCAGTGCATTAAAATGTTCTCTTATTATGTTAAGATTCACATAAAATTCACCGTGATGTTCCACTGAATGAATGTTGAAGTCCAAACTCAAAATTATTGAAATATAATAAAGTCTACATATACATAAGAACATCAAATGATAAGTGCCATGCCAGTGTTGCTTGCAAACTTCCATTTAAGTCAGTAAAATAATGGAGTATACTAATGTAAAATGAATGTAGGGCTGGACTAAGGTATTTTATGCAAAACAGTCCACCCATCTGCCAACGTTTTCACTGGCAGGAAATAGAAATTTTGGAAGATACTAATCTAATTGGTTAAGTGTATAAACAAGTGCCTACTAGTTAATTTTTCATTAGCAGGGTTAAAAATTTTACATCAAACTGGCAGAATTGCTCAAACAGATCAAAGAGTTAGTATGTCCGTACCTTTACATAAGATTTCAAAATGGCTGTGAACACGATTATAATATTCAAAGCCTGAACAAAATTTTCATTTTTCTGTGGCCAAGACATATCATTACTCAATGGAAATATTACAACACCCATTTTTGGCACCATTTACTTCCTACTACAAGCACCATGTATGCGTGTTGTTTCAAGCGCCACCTATAGTCCAAATTCAAAGGCACCACCTACCTGTCGTTCAGCATGAAGCTCAAAGTTCCGTTTTGTTTTGACGTCAATTGGCTTGATTGTGATTGGCCACAGTCTAAGGTGGAGTCAGAGTTGGATGACCTTTTATGGAAAATAAAAAGAAATAAACAAAGGTCAGTGGCTGCTTTCTTCCAAGGAAAAACAGGGTGATGGACGACATTTCTCTGCAAATTCTGTGGAAACTGTCTTGCTGGCCAGGAATGTGTGCAGAATTAGTCAGAGAAATGTCTGTGAATATCTTGTAAAAATATTTCTTAGGCACTGACAAAGGGTTCTTCCTGTCTGATACAATGACTTACTTTTCTTGTTTTTTATTCTCGCCTTTTTTTTTTAAAGTAATTCTATCTTTGAGAATAGACTTGGTATTAACTCATAGAAATGAAACTATGGACCTGTTTAACGCCAGTTAATCCACACACTAACTAGTCAGCAGATCAAATAAAGCATGCCAAGACATAATTGTTCTGCCCCTGCTGGGAGGGCAGGCTGGGAAGAGGGAAACCATTATCAGGTACAGGCTATATTTGATCCACGGACTAGTTAGTCTCTGGTTCAACTGGTTCTGAACANGGGGGTTTTATAAAGGTGTTGCTCAAGAGTTGCCAGTCATGGAACTGCAAGCTGAATGCATTTTAAAACATTTGAGTAATACCTTTATACTTCATTATAACTATTACGTCAGCAGGACATGTTGAGAAAGTGCAAATTGTAGTACATGCTTAGTATAAAGCCTGGTCTCTCCAGCTTACCATAAGTACTCCATAAGACCACCAATCAGCAGCTGTACCATGCCCTCTCCTGTTGACCACCTCAGGAGCCATATACTCCACAGTGCCACAAAATGAGTATGTCTTCTTCTCCTCAAAGATGGACTCCTTACTTAGACCAAAGTCTGTCAGTTTGACATGACCATCGGCATCAAGCAGCACACTGCAAGTAACAGAGAATCAATAAGGAAATAAAAGTAACTTGATTAATCTTTTTTTTCCCTCTCATCAATCAGTCAAGCGGAAACTGGCTGAACCCTCCATGCAATATCAAATGCAATGCACGCGATCACACAACAATTTAAGACCTTTTCTCTATCCCACGCATTTTACCCTTTGCCACATTAACTTTTCAACTTTCTAATCTTATCTAAGTAAATGATACAGATATAAAAAAATTCTTACTTCTCTGGTTTCAGATCCCTATAGATTATTCCTACTTGGTGCAAATGATTTAGAGAAAGTGCCAATTCTGCCAGGTAAAACTTGACATCTTCTTCTGTGAACATTACCTATTGAAAAAAAAAGGTGAAAATAATAATAATAAAAAAGATGATGACGTAAAATGCAGAAAGCACTGTGATGACCATGCTTTACAAACTTAATGAGGCATGGGAAGTGAAAGTCTAACATTTTATTCCACAGTTGAATTTTTTTACTGGCATCTTAGTTTTGCCATTTCTTTAGAGAATTGCTGAACTAACATCCTTTTTACAGCACAGACTCTAGTTGATCTTTACACTGCGTTCTATACCCAACTGACTTTAAATCCCATGTTAGCAACTATGGAACATAAAAAGGAAGTTGCTTGCATTTCTAACAGATTTGCCTTAATGCCCAAAGTAGAGACAAGACACCAGGCCTCTCTGTGAATGTGGAAGATTTGAAAGAGGTGTAATTAACCTTAAATGTTCAAGGGAGTGACTATATATTTTTGCCACGTTAACATTTTGGAACCTTTTCTGTGATCATCCAACCTTGTGAGTTTTTAATGCCCTATCTGTCAGGTATACCTCCATATATAGTTACCATAAAACAGATAAAAACCACAAAACAATACATGCCTCTTTAGATAATCTAGTGAACAAATCGCCTCCTCGCAGGAATTCCAATATTAAGTACAGTTTCCCTTCTGTTTGAAATGCTAAAATAAGGAAACAATTTATGATCAATCAAAACTCATTATAGCTCACAAACAACCACAGACATTTGAAATACAGTGAACTAAATAAGGTGATTACAGAATGAAAACTTTCTGATAATAACTGGTTGAAAATATTGCTCAAAGCTGTTTTATCCTATAATTATTGAAAAAACAACAAATTTCAAGTTAATGCAATGTTCGTTATTTTTTTTCATAACCTACCGTAGTGGAGTTTTACAATAAATGGATGATCAACATCTGCCAGTATATCCCTTTCCATCTTTGTTCTTACCCTGTCTCTCACTAGAATAAGATGTAAACTTATAAGAATAACAAAATGAAGAATATGAATTGGAATAAGAAGCAGGAAAGTACAAAGCAAGTCTGAGCAAAAAAAAAACTGCAGCCAATGAAAATTTACCCCTGCATCTTATAAAATCTTATAAACAATGTTTATTTCATTTAAATGTCTTACATTAATTACTGTCGTTTCATTGAACCAAAATCAAAGATAATCAAGTACACACTATAATATGTCAAGCAGTACATCAAACATGTTCCTACTATTAATTTTACAGACATGCCTGAAGACTTCTTGAAGGTCTCCAATTTACTTTTAAGAAACTGACAGAGAAAAACCACATCCAAGGCACATTTTGTACCTAACATTATAACATCAAAATGGGAAATATTTCTCTATATAGGAATCTATCATAAATCTTGCTTGGCATGCCAGGATTTCCAACAGCAAATAACAATCAATTTTTCACTCAATTATGGTTGTCATTTCAGCAGTTACAATTTTCAGACAATTATTTCTATACTATATAAAACTCATATGAAATCGATTACTTATAAATAAGTATCAACATCCAGTCTTATCCTAAATAAATACATATTAAATAAACTGATTAATTTGTCTTTTTCTTCATCATTTGACAAGTCGGCTAAGACAGCGATTGTCAACAAAGACCAATTATCTTTAATATTTGATGGATTAGAGTGATTGGCAAAGAATGAAAAATCTATGAATATGCTTTTTTCCTAATCGATCATAATGATGAAAAAGTATTTGTGGAAAGGATAAAAATGCAAAAAGCTCAGTGAATTGACAATCTTACCTTTGAGAGTAGCTTTCTTTAGCACTTTCATGGCATACAGGGTGCCTGCATCATGGCCACTGATTTTTCTTACCAAAAACACCTGTAAAACAATAAGAACCATAATAACACGGAATAACCGTCTTCAAAATCAAATAACCAAACATTTTGCACAATGGAGTGATGATCACATAAAAATCACCCAATAACTATATACCAAAATGTCCAGACATATAAAACAGTTATTCAGGACATATTTCTCATATATGAGTATATCTGGTCTGGAGATGGTTTTCATGCATTAAGTGACATAGCATCTCCAACAGGATTTCTGTCAGAGCAGATTGGAAAGCAGAAAGCGTTTTATCTTTAACATAATATAAAGGAGTGGTTTGTTTCTGGTCTGAAAGAGGAAGGTGCCACACACAATAAACAGCTCCAAGGAACTTGAATGCAATTGTACCTCAAAAAGAGATTTTGCATTCATAATATAGCTGCTTAATTCCTGGTAACATTTACGATGAAATGCATCATGGAATTAGATTTTGTAATGAAAAAAATCAACTTGAACTGAGCATGCAGATAAATATGTAATTTCATTTGTTATGATAGGGTTCCATGGTGTATTGAATTATCAATCACTTTTCATAGGCTGGGCAATATTGAATTATCAATCACTTTTCATAGGCTGGGAAATATTTTAATGATTTTTGGTGACATTGCAAGCAAACATGATATTCTACACGTTCCAACTAAACCAAACAGATTTCATTGCCATCTTACAGAAAATGTTCCAATTAAATGCACTGCCCATCCTTTAGGCTCTTCCTACAGCACTGAACTCTTAAGTCTTGCTTTGTGAGGCTCAGATGAAAGAAACTTCCGGAACAAGGAAGTTGTACAAATGAAGAAGTCTGGCAGTTCCTTTGATAAGTAGCCTGTAATTCTATCAACTACATGGAAAGTTGCACAACTGCTTACCAGATAAGTCTTTTTACATACACCATCTTATAATCAATTTGTGGTATACAGCAGGAGACCTTTCATACAAATAATTGTGGCAAACCTAAAGAAACCCAGATTTTCTCTACATCACATCTGCAGTTGATATTCAGCTCTTTTAAAATCATTAAGTTATTTACAACCAGAAGACTCATTCAGTGCAGTCCAAAGCATACAGCTTACCTTTCCAAATGAGCCCTGGCCTAAAACTTTAAGTAATTCAAAATCACCAGGATTGCACTTCTCTCCCTTCCTGACCAAAGTCGTGACTTCAATTTCCTGATCTTGCATCTCCTCATCATTCTGAAATATAAGAAAAAATCAGCATGAACCTCCAGCTGGCCCCAGCAGGAAAGAGCATATCCTGTTATCAACTTTTTATCTCAAAACAAACTCAAAATTTTCTTTTTCCTAAACTTTATATTAATTCATTACTTTTTTATATACACAAAACTGGCAGTTTGAAAATTGTACAAAAATGCAATTGCTCCTAGCAGACCAAACCCAAGCAAAATATAGGCCTCAAGTCTCTTTTACTGGCTGAAAGAGAACAAAACCTGTATGGTATGTTTTATTCTCTGATATTTTTTCAGTCATTGGATACTGATAAAAGGATTATGAAAAGTCTTCATAGGAATAGCCATCTAATATTAAACATTGGAGAAACCTTTGTGCTTTGCTGCCAAAGCATCACCAAGTTTCTATATACTGTATAAAGCCTGTTAACCTACACAGAGCCAAGGTATCTCCTTTCAACAACCCACAGCCTGAAGACCAGTTTACCTGTACTGACATTTTCAGTGTACATAATATCTTCCTTAAATCTTAAATATGCTATGGTACACTTAAACACCTTAAGTAAATTCCTCACCACCTCCATTCTCACAGCTTAAAAAAACCACAAAGATTGGCACCCAAAGGTGGAATGCCTCTGCCTTCCATTCACTCATTCATTCTTTTATGCCATTACACATACTTTCCATTTTCAATATCATCATACACCATAGCTACCTATCCTTTGCTTTCCTTCTTAAAAGTCTTTCTTAGTTTCATTAATTTTCTTATAACAGGTTCTAAAAAATATTACATAAGATTAACAGGTTTTTGTGAATATATCAGATGTAACCTTTTGAAAACCCTTAACACCCCCTTCCTTAACATAAATCACTCTGTATCAACCAAATCCTTAACTACATCCCTTTAACCATGATCTATGCAAATTTCGTCATCTACAATAATCTCATCACTACGAATGATCACCACAGAAGATATAAATTTATTAAGCTTAATCCACAGTTCTTTACTTTTATGTGAAACCTGCATTTATCCACACGATAAAAGATGGAATTCATTCAGCTCTTTTACCTAAGGGTAAAGAGGAATCGGTTCGAAACAGGCAGTATTACTATTAATTAATGCACAGGCAAATGCTTAGTTTGCTTATTTAATGTTCACGATTCACGTTTAATTCCTTCACGGAAATACAACCCAAGTACAAGTTGTATCTTGAATAAAAAAAACTCTGCAAATAGGGTAATTTGTTTTATTTCTAGCAAATGTAAACCCACTCTTTGCTATTAACGCCTAAGCCAGAAGAATTTTCCTCCATATATCCTACACCCACTAAAAACCAAGCTTTTTCCTAAGCGTCCTTGAGATATTTTTTATTGCACGTTTCAGTGTGTTAAAACAATGCTAGCTTTAAAAATCTTGCAAGAGATGTTTCCTTGAACAGATTGTGGGTTGTGTCACAGCTGTGAGGGATAACACCACCAACACAGACTATTACAAGGTGAACACCATTACTGAACTCTATTCTCTGTAGAAGTCTGTCACCCCCGAGTTTCTGAATGCTAGTGGACATTTATGCTGAGTAATGGAAGTCACCATCAGGGCTCTGAAACTCAGGGTGGTACTTATTTTACGCGAACATAAATTTTATGCATGTTTTATTATATTCATGAAATTGAAATTAAAATGTACAAAAAATCCTCATAATCAGACAAGTATGCTGCTATTCCACTTATTTTAATTAACAAAGATATCAAAATGAAATATATTTGGTCAGATGTAAATAATTTCTCATTTTAGTGTTGTAAAAGGTGTTGTTTTTATCTATAAAGCAAGTTAGATCAAAGAGTATGGCACTCCGTACATCATAAATCATAATCTTTTCACTTGAGAAGAATACTATTTTGACAAGTCAAAGACATCTGCCATCTCCAAAAATAATTTTAAAAAATCTGGAAATAAAAAACAAAAAGAAAAAACAAAAAACAAACAAATAATAATAAATGAATAAAAAGCCACCAGAAACATTCAACTTGCCCAGACTCCTAAATTTTCTTTGACATGCAACGGCTTGTTAATGACGTCAAAGATTGACTGTTACATTTATTTCTGGGTGTTGCATGCTCCTACCTTTGTTGGCATTTTCTGACTTTCATGTGGCTTCTCCTGCCTACTTTTCTCTCCTGAGTGAAAGGGATGCCTGAGAAAGTGTTTGATAATTTTAACATAGCTATCCCGTTGCTTGTCCTTTACGCTCTCTTTTGCCCCTTCACTTTTTCCTTGCCGCCTCCTACTTCCTGGCCTCGCGTATGCTGTATTCATACCCAGCATGATTCTCAACTAGATCCACTTATAATCACTGGTAATTAGACTCTTCAATATAAATATATCCTAAATCAATAATTATTTTTTCACAGACCGCTCTGGATGGTCTACACACATGAAACTAGTCTGTCTCACTGACAGTAACTTTTTCCCTCAGTGTTTTGTCGGTTGGATTCCACTGTGATGTACTCATTTACTTATTTGGTCTGTAAGGTGATGTAAAAGGCCCGCCTATCTTCATCATCAACCTATCAGTGTCCAACAATCCTGTGGCCGCTGTGAGAATGTGCATGACATGGATAGCTGAGAGCAAGCCATCCGTGGAGGAGGAATACAAAAACCCACTTCCTCCAGTTAACACTAATTGGCACAAGTCCTGCCCTCTTTACACTTGCACAGGAACTAAACAACTGACCGGATCATCTCAACCCAAATATTGATCATCAATAAGAAAAAAATGTAGCTGGCACATGCATGACACACTATGAACTAAGTGCTTGGAAAATATTACTCTAGATTTCTCAATGTTATTGATTATAATTTGAATATGAGCTATTTAAGAATATATATATAAAGAAAATGACCAGTAATACTCAATATAGGGCTGATCACATATAAATGCTATTTGGATTTGTTTACTTAATTTGGTGTTTGTGTGCAGATATTTGTTCAAAATCACAATGTTATTTGCTAGCTATGCATACTTTTTATTGCTTAGTCATTTAGGTAGAATGCTTGGGACAACCATGACATATTTAAAACCCGCATTGCGTTACTGACCCTTATCAAAAAGACAAAACTACATCATAAATAGGGCAAATTGTTGAAATGTGACTTCATTCTTATTGGTTCTTTTGATGTAATTCATACCTGAAAAGGGCACATTTTTATGCACTGATGGGTAAGAATGCATATTTACCAAACGACAATATCCACAAATGCATTCACTTGAGGACACATGCTGATACAACATCTTCCTTATATATGAGCACAGTGAAAGGTCTACACACCCAACGACAAGTAGTTAAGGGACCATTTAGAATAGATGATCTGAGTACTAACTGATCCGCCGACTAAATATGGCCGACCCCACTTCAAAAGCAATGCTGCTAATTCCATGAAAGTCTCCCCGCCTCCACACACGCCGTCGCTGCAGGGGCCTAGCAATTAAACCTCAGAGCCAAGATTTAATCCATTTAATGGTGCATGTGGAGGCGGGGAGACCATCGGGAATCAGCGTCATCGCTTTTGAAGTGGGGTTGGATATATTTAGTCGGTGGATCAGTTAGTACTCAAATCATCTATTTTGAATGGGCCCCGAAGTCTATATTCTGGATATTAAAGGTACACTCCATAGGTTTAAGATCCCCAAAATGCTTACTTTTGCCATCAACAGTTTCTGGAGTGTACCTGATGTTGATATTTCCATTGGAGCCTACAGGGAAATGGTTGCTGTCGTAATGACTGACCAGTCATTTTAGGCTAAAATCAACCTTTATAAATTTTATCAAAGTTCGAATCAATGTATATTTTTGCTTTATGTGCTGTATATAACTGGGGCAGATAAGTATGTCAATTTATGACCAAAAAAAATGTTAAAAGAATATTTTACTACTAGTCAATACATTTACAAATCCAACTCTTTTTTAGAGACAAGAAGTGCAATTAATGTGGCCTAAAAAAGGTCACGTTAGCTAGCTTAGGTCAGACAGCAAGGTGCCACAACTGATGACCAGGTACATAGCTGTCAGCCAAGAGGATTCACTTCTGACGTACAACTTGGGCCCTTCAGGTCCTGCTTGTGCTGCCAAAATATCCGTGCATGATCTTATTGTATTTTCATCAGACAAACAACATTCCTATAAGCTTTTTTTTAAAAAACTTTTGTAAGTCTATTCATGCACATAAATCGCACAAATGCATATAACTTTCCTAAGCTTTTTTTTACTTCAGTAACTCTATTCTTTCACATAAACTGCTTCACAGGCCTATCTGAAAAACTCTCACCCATTCTCTTTCGACTGATTGGTGGATAATTTAGAGAAGGCTGGAAAGAAAGTAGGGAAGAAAAACGGGGCAGAATAAGGCATGCTATTTCCTCATCTTTTACTTGCATGTTACCAAGCATCCACCTTCTTATTATTCTGCTCTGTCGCCTTTTGACTAAAATAACATTCAAACCTCAGATTTCATGAATATAAAGGAGCAGATTAACTGGCTTTCATTATCAAGAATAGCATATCTGTTATAACACATGCATGCTAAACATGTGACTACCTTCTATAAAGATCTCTCCGATTAGCATGCTTTGCTAAATCTATCACACTCCTTTTGTTTCTTGTATCCGAACATATTACCAATTTGTTTCAAAAGTCTGTTAAATACTGGCCAAAATGCTTTACTGACATAAGGCTTATAACTGTGTATACATATAAGTCCATAACTACCCTGGTTCTAAACAAATGTCTAAATGATTCTTACTCATCCTAACTAAATATTAGCAATATATGGGGATGAAAACATAATGCCTTATGTTTAACGAGTAACTTAATATCTGTACCCAACCTTTCTAAAGACAAAGACAATTATTTACACTTTTGTATATCCACTGGGCAAGTTGTCAGCTGATCAAAACATTTCTATGGTCAAAAGCAGAAAATATGTGACAATTTGATAAATTATCAATGTTCTGAATATTCAGAATGTTTTATGCAGCATTTCATACTGCCCATTACTTTGAAAAACAAAAACTGTTTAATGATTGACTAACTATGGGAAGTAAGGGTAAGTTCAGAAAAGGTATATTTGATTAGCATATCAGACACATTTCTGCAACACCCATTGTTTATGGCTTTTATTTTCTATAAACATCCTAAAATGCACTGGAGTGTTTCTCTTCTCTTTCTTATACCCCATTCACACTACAGTTGCAAAAATGCGCATTTCTGTAATTCGGATTTTTCGTGAGGAATCCAATTCGGAATTGCGTTCACACTCGCGAAGCAAATCCGAATCCCACGTTGAAAATTTCAGGTTTAACTTCCTGTTTTGAACACTCGCGCATGCGCCGCACAGAAAAACTCAAAATACCAACAAAAAAGTCTGACGGCAAATGTATCTCAAAAAGACATTCCAGCATTCTTGGGAAGCATAAGATGGCAAAATAAGTTTGTTTCCTCATGTTGTAGTGAATGGTGACCTCCAAATACGTTTGGTGCAATCGCTAAAGTAATAAACAAGCGTTCATAGATACCCGCACTTATCTGCACACATGCGCAGTTAGGTCTGTACAGGTGTCGATTCCGGTAAGTTATCCGGATCGCGCTTAGAAATCCACCTCGCTTGCAGGATTTTGAAAATGCGCATTACAAAAATCCTCTTGCGTTCACACTACTGCATTTATTCGAATTGTGACCTAATTCGCAATTTATCCGGATAACTGAGCGTAGTGTGAACGGGGTATTTGTCGACTCTAAAATAGCTATTTTCTGGATAATTTTTTTATTATTTTAAAGTGTGTGTGTGTGTGTGTGTGTGGGGGGGGGGGGGGTATGGGGGGGGGATCACCCCTATTCTGGATCTGTCCTTGGATTACCTTAGGACACTGATCCTTATTGTGCAAACTAAGACCTGTGAGATAAATATTTGGAATATCCAGAAAAGAATCTACTGGATAGAGGATAGGGTTACTAATTACCAGAATATGAAATATAATCAATTTTTGTATGCATGCTACTAAGCAATTATAGATTGGTACTTCCTACTCTAAGGACAAAAGAGGCCATGCAAAAGACCCTTGAGAGATGCACAAGACTGGCTAAGAAACAATATAAATGTGTATAAAGGATTCTAAGTAATATTTTGATCCATTTTTCTGATAATTCATGTATAAGTTGATCAAGAAGCTAAGGACATTGAATTTTGCTTACAGCTGCCTTTACAAGCTGCCTGTTACTCAACTTTGCACTATGCTGCAAATGTTATATGATTATATCATAAAATAAAGAAACAATTATTTTTCAAATTCAAAAAACACTATCAGATGTCATTAAAATGTGTATTATTTTCCTTTTTGTCATTTCTCCAAAATGGTACATCTAATTCACCGAAAAGTTTTCTGATAAGTTGCCAAAGGGGAGATGTGGTGAAATATCAAATGCCATTAGCATATGTATCATACCCATAACTCTGCTTTAATTCTGAATTTCCTTCATTAAACCTAGCCTTAAATCAATCTCTTATCAAGAAAAGAGAACATAAAAAATACACCTGAATGTTGCAGTATATCATATTTTTTACCATGTAAATGAAATTCAACAAGAGCGCAAAAAAAATAGCAAATGATTATATTGCCTCAATAGTCACTATATACGAAGAAGGATTTCTTACGAATTTGCAAATGTAAAACCCTTTAGTTGAACTAATGTACTACAAACATGCAACTTTCACGTTACATATATCTAACTATTTACAAGGTGGAGAACTGTCAATCTTATCATCCCTGACAGATAAAAAACTGAAGGACTGGCATGTATTATTTTCATGTTGCTTATAGTTTATAAGATAAAATGAAATTATATGTATATATAAAAAAATGTTAATGTTGCCAAAAACATGTTTTAAATGTACGTGTATAATAAATAATAAGCCAAATAGTTGATAACTTTCACAAAAATTAAACAATCATGCTGGTTTTTGAAAAGAAAACATAACATACATAAAGCCACAAACATAAGCTTTTCCACTTATAGGGTGAATGTAACCAAAGTACAAACATAAAATAAAAAATTCGCAAACTTTTGTAAAGGTTATCTCATCATGCTGATTTACAAAAAGAAACTGCCTTTTGAAAAAACAAAATCAAAGTAATACAAAAATAAGGTTTGGCAATTAATGGATAAACAACAAATGTGTCCAACAGCAACAGTTACAAAGTAATCAAAATACATATAGTAACATACACTGTCTGTATATAAAAAGTATAGATTTTAATAGTTATACCTTTTTGATATGGGATATGGAAAGTGAAATTGGGTTATGATCTAAATTATATATATGAAAATAATTTAAATATTGTGTTACTTTAACTTACCTCTTGGTCATCTACAAGCATGTCTTCTGTGCTTGGCGTCTGAAAAATTGAAGTAAACATTCAAGTCAGGTGTATAACATAATACTAGTAATGTGTATGTTAAGCAGAGCACAGTGAGTTGAATGAGGTAAACCTTAATAACTCGTACATGCAAAACACCGTTATAGCTATAACTATGTAACTATGAATATGTATAGAGGGACTGCAATGACACTTCACTATTGGACTTGGTCACCACAGCAGAATGCTAATTCACCATTTATTTCTATTTAATTATATATATCTAATATAAAAATACAATTTCCAACTGATGAGCGATGACAAAAAGTAACGTAAAGAGTAAATGGATGCTTTCAAACATGTCACAATACACCCATTCCTTTCCTTGCCAAGTGAACTGTTTCAATATACTATACAACTGTACAACATCTTGTGCACTGGGTCAACATCCGATATTGCAATAACATGTTAAGTACTATTGAAAACGGCAGTGGAATCCCAGATGCAAGGCATGCCTCTAACTGTTTATTACCCTATAGTATAACAGTCGAGCAGGCAAAGAAGCTTCTGTGGTTCAAAATTAAATTAAAAAAATTCTGACAAATGTTTACTATGACTGACATTATATTCTGAATACATTAAATTAACATTTCCATCAATGAATCACGTTTGCTTGTATTTCTCAATACTTATTCATGGAATTTTGCACCTGATAGATCAAGCAAACCAAGATAAATACGTTCAAGAAGTACTTTCTTTGTAAAAGACAAAATGACAAAGGAATTCAAACGTCGTGCTTTCATATATGAATCCTCGAACAAGTCACAATAACCAAGTTACAGTGCTAACTCGGTGTCCACTGCAACCTGGCACAAGGGCGACAAAGAGCGTCGGTGACGGCGACACCTATGCTTACCTGTCGCAGGGATTGCACCTCAACCCTCTGCCAGGGGTCCGCCAGTTGTGCCAGAGGCATGGTGAAGCCCTGACTACAGCTATACAATATGTGGGAGGGTCTGAAATTACCCTACAAGTTACTCTACTTCCCTTCCTCGACAAAATGGCGCAGGTGCGACTTAATCTGGTCGATGGGGGCGCTGAAAAACAAGAGAAACCAAAGTCGCAGTTGAGAATGGACATGATTTTTTCAACCGCACAACTGATCGGCCGACTTATTGAACTATGCTTTGAATTATTAAACGTTCATATATATCGTGTTCAACCTGATGTGTGCATGGTACATATGAAACTGTCATCATCGCATTATATCTGCAAAAACGCAAACCAAATATTGGAAGAGTGAGAAAACAATTTAACGTTTATTGCTTGAATGACTTTAATATCACATTGCGTTTATGAGATGTATTTTTGTTCATTGTTTGATTTGTGTTTTTCTTTGGGAATTCATGTCATCATGAAACAAGTAATTCTAGATAACTGCAAGTGAATTGCTTGTGGTATTAAAACGTGGGCATGTATCAATGGTTTTGATTTCCTGGATTAAAAAAGGGAAAAGATAATGCATGTCTCACATCCCCCTCTCTCTCTTGATATCCTGAACACACTACTAAATGTAATATCCTGGACCCGTCAGCTTTAGACCCTTTTTGTCAAAGTTAAATCAATATTAAAGCCTAGACAAGCTTACATTCTGAACACGTAGGCCTACCAGTGCCGTATCACGTTCAGACAAACATGAAATTTTCCCATTAACCTTCCAACTGCTGGAAACATGAGATGGGTTTAGCCACAAGTTGGATGTACCTATCACGTTTTCAGCTTTTAGTTATAAGTGAACAATTAATTTAAACTGTATTTTCTAAATATCAAATTATATTCAATTACCGAAATTGTTTTAAATTTAAAAAATATTGTCTATAATATTGAGAGTCCTTAGGGGATAGCCTACGGGGAAAAGTGTCTATGACAGATTTTTGAGCAACAAGGAAAAATGTTAGTTCTTACAGTTATATGTTGCGCCATTATGATAATAGTTGATATCAAAAGTATGCAGTGCGCATTAGATCTTTACGTAGCGAAAAACTTTCCTGCAAAATTCAGCAACGTACGTATAGGCCTAAATAATGTTCACTATTTGTTTTAACAACACTGGTTGAGACACACCTTTCCGACGCTATTGTAGTACCAATTTTCTGTTATCATCATCAATATTTTGTTAATGTTATATTTATCTTTTAATTTTTCATATTTCATTGATTTAAAAACTAACTTCCTGTTGCAAATAGACAAAGATCTACACGTAAATATTACGTAAACCGACGTTACGTCTCTCGTCTACACGTTTTATGACGTCAAAACAAGGCATTTGTACGTTTACATGGAAACTATTCAAAATGGCACTGGACAGCAAAATTATGATTTTCAAGCACCATATGAGCCAATCTGAGAAAGCTCGTTTGACAGACAGACGCAGTTTAGATTTGACGTCTGCCTATCGCGGGGCACGGGTGGTAGAGTGCCCTAAAAACGCCATAGAATTCCGAAAACTGCTGGTAGAATGTGACCGCCTTGAGCAACTGAAATGCAAGGCCAATAGGAAGCTAAATCACGATATGCACCTAGTACAAGTTGCCCAAAACAAAATGAGGATGATGTCAAAAACGGGCGTATACGAATATGGCCGCGATGACATAGATACTGACGTATACGATGACAGGTTAGTTGGAAGTCGGTACAAAGCAAACGGGGAGCTCCGCAATGATCCTCACGGACTGTACTCGATTGATCAAAGTGAGAAATTTCATTTAGCTGGCTTTGAAAATGAAAAGAAAGAAGTAGACAACTCAACCCAAAAAGCGTTCCCTAAGTCATGTGATGAATCAAGCGTTTTTGTCGCACACCCGACTACTGAAAAAGACGGCAGCAACACATTCAAAGAGGAGCTGCATGGTTTTTGCAATGTACATAATAATAAATCAGAGACAGTCTCAGATCATTCAAAAGAAGAAGACGAAGACTCACCGTTNGAAGTAGACAACTCAACCCAAAAAGCGTTCCCTAAGTCATGTGATGAATCAAGCGTTTTTGTCGCACACCCGACTACTGAAAAAGACGGCAGCAACACATTCAAAGAGGAGCTGCATGGTTTTTGCAATGTACATAATAATAAATCGGAGACAGTCTCAGATCATTCAAAAGAAGAAGACGAAGACTCACCGTTACCTGAAGATGTAAGAATAAAAAGAGATTTGAAAAAGATACAACAAGATATGACAAAAATTACAAACTATCTGGAAAGCATGAGAAAGACGCAGAGACCATATTCCAATAAAAAATTGTCTTTCCTCCGTGCACATTCACACGACGACCCATACATTCTCCTGTGTCAAATAGCCAATGGACATGAAGACGAAGACCGATATGCATTTGCCCCCGGGAGCACCAACTTTGGTCATGGTCCAAAATTGAGCAGCCCGAAAAGAAGAACAAAAAGAAAGGGTTGCTCACACTCCCGATGCGTCGCGTGTGAGTTCAAACTGAAGTTAGAGTCTGATACAGGTGGCAGATTCGACAAAACTGCTTCTGAACGAAAAGACGGTCCTGTGTGGCACACGGGTCCAAGTGGTACGTTTCTGGGATCTCCACAAAGTGAATACACACTGAAAACAAAGGCCTTTGAGAAACTACACAAAAGCAATAAAGAGCAGATTGGCAAGCCCAAAGGTATACAAGCTAGGTCGGGTGATTTATCTAAGACAAAAAACAAAAGTACACCAAGAGTTGCATGGGAGAAAGATCTAACAAAGGACAAGAATAATGGTAGCCAATGTATTGTAGAGGAACGAAAGGAAGTATCAGTTGGCATCGAAAGAGAACCCAGTCAACCAAATGTTCAAGCAGCATCAGTTCCAAATATTCGCCCTTTCCAATTTGACGACACCCTACCCTCATCTGATATAGAGTTAGTCTCAAAATCAGTTCCTTCAATGAAAACAAAGTCACCACGACACAAGCCTTCTCGAAAAAGCGCGGATAGTCGAAATAGTCCGAGATCTCTTCAAGCAAAAGACACTGAAAGTATGTTTTGGAATATGATGGACAGAGCTACTGTCAGTGGCCAGCATTTGGCAGGGGAAGGAAGACGTAGTTCTGTACCTTTCAGTACTGTGGTATCACCAGTTAAGCCCAGTTATGCATGGCGCCGTCGATCAGCGAATCTAGCCCGAGAGAGAAAAAGATCGATTCTGAGAGAACAATTGGTAAGTGCCAGTAGGGCAAAAACTGTCATAAGATTGTGCAAATTCAGTACTTTAGATATTTATCTACGTCACATAGAAACACGGTCTTAAATTCAATGTTTAGTAAATTACAATTTTGCTCGGTTACTTCAGAAAGCTACTTCTATAATTTGCAAAAGCCGAGTGGATGCTTTTGTCAAAGAGCTGCAAGAATTGTCCGATGCCCGGAAAAGCGAAGAAAGAGAAAACGAATTGAAGTTGGCCGCATTCAGAAACAGGAAAAGGGTAGAACTAAAGCAAAAGAAAGAACAGCAGCTCAAGGAACAACAAGAAAAAGAAAAGGAAGAGGCTGAACGAAAGAAAAGAGAAGAGGAAGAACGGCGCAGACAAGCTCAGTCCGCCGGGGAAAGCGTGAGCTTCAGATACATGCGCGCAGTGTACGGGGGGTCCGGTATGTCCCTGCAAACGGCTTTCCAGAGACTTCGGGAGCTTAAGCATTCTAGATACTGAATCTTATAAATCATTTACGCATTGTCCGTACAAGTTCCCAAGACCCATTTACACTGAAAGGCGTCCATTCTGCGTCTTTTGTGCGACCATGAAGCTGGCATCTCTGTGGTCATAGAAAGGGGACACAAGTATTGCTTCGTTTGCAGACTAAATGCTCAATGATCGGCCAGGTATCGCCACGTAAAGTATTATTTTTTTTTACTCTCAAACCGGGCTGTACGACGGGACGCAGAAAGGACGCCGTCCAGTGTAAAGGGAGCTTAAGCTCTTTGTGTTACAAAAAGTTGAAACGCCGCATTACCGACTTTGCTGAAAATCAGGTCTTCGCAATTTTCTTTTTCTGACGGGAAGGCTCACTGTAACACGTTTGGCAATTTTTTTCATCAGAATATTTTTCATCAGAAGTGTTTCTTGCTGTCATCAAATAAATAACTTGTTCATTTATCTCGCAATCAATATCAGATACCCGTGGGACCTATGGGCGGCGGTTTATACAAAAATGCAAAACACGATTAGTCGTCATCGTTATCAGATCAGTCGAAATGAAAACACGATTTGTCGTCGTCGTTATCAGATCAGAAGGCAAAATACGACTAGTAGTCGTCAAAACGCAACTAGTCATCAAAACGCAACTAGTCATCATCAAAACGCAACTTGTCATCATCAAAACGCAACTAGTCATCATCAAAACGCAACTTGTCATCAAAACGCGATTTGACGCCAGATGGCGCCCATTGTACGAAAATCTAGGCCAAGTCACATGATCCACAGTGATCAAAATGGCGGACGTTATTGAAGCAGCATTATCATATTCCTCGCTCGAACTCGAGAATTATCTCTACGCGTACAATCTAATAATGATATTATATATATAATAATATCTGGAACTTGTGAAATGAGTACAACAATAAAGCAGTGCTTCACAAGTGTGTGTTTTTGTTTTTTTTTTAATTTATAACATGTCCAAATTATTTAATAAATTATTAAATTATTTATTATTTCGAGAATTATCTCTACGCGTACAATCTAATAATGATATTATATATATAATAATATCTCGAACTCGAGATAATTCTCGAGTTCGAGCAATGAATATGATAATGCTGCTTCAATAACGTCCGCCATTTTGATCACTGTGGATCATGTGACTTGGCCTAGATTTTCGTACAATGGGCGCCATCTGCAATCGGCAATCCTCGGCCAATTCCGCAAGCTCCATACTCATTGTCGAGTGCGGAGACATCCGAGTAGTTCCGAGTGCGCCATCTGGCGTCAAATCGCGTTTTGATGACAAGTTGCGTTTTGATGATGACAAGTTGCGTTTTGATGATGACTAGTTGCGTTTTGATGACTAGTTGCGTTTTGATGACTAGTTGCGTTTTGACGACTACCAGTCGTGTTTTGCCTTCTGATCTGATAACGATGACGACTAATCGTGTTTTGCATTTTTGTATAAACCGCCGCCCATAGGGACCCACCCACTGTCAATATTTGTTTGAAATAATGTTTCTGCAGGATAATTCTAAATTGTGCCAATCAATGTAACTTAGCCGTTTTTAGCATTCATAATGTCACCAAATTATTAACAAGACTGTAGATAAATAATTATTATATATATTCTAAAACTTTGGTTTAACATATTTCAAGCCTACTCAAACTGACTTACGGTTATACAAACAGTTCTCCCAGTCAGAAAAAAAACCCTGTAACCTTAATCTGTAAAATACATCAATAAGGCTAAGACAACGTTCAAATGGTAAGACTGGAAATTTTATAAGATATGACTATTTAAAACTACATCAATCGTTGGGCTAAATATATTTACAAAATTTAAGTAATTATCTTCAATGAATCCCACTGAAAATGTTCACAACTCAGATATGTTAATTTCTGACAGAAAAAGGCACTAACACTTAACTTTACTTCTTCTAAAATGTCAAAATGGATATAAATAAAATATCAGACATCGCAGAACTAATGTAAAATTAAAATCTCTTGAGATTCTTTCCCACAAAGAGAGAAGAATGACTGACCACTGACATTAAAAGTACATACACTAAATGTATTATCTGCAATTCTTTCATCAAATGTTTATTTGAGCATAGCAAGACTGTGCACTTATGACAATACTGATGTTTTTTTCTTTGAAAAAGAGTAACCTATCCACTACTCAAAATTTCGGAAAATTTTGTAAATTTTATTGAAAATGTCATTATCAGGACTTCAACCAAGGATGTGCTTCTATGGAGGTTCTACTCCTATCTCCATAATCGTAGGTCAATTCTTCCCCACATTCTATGTCTACAGCAGCTACCAGTATAAGATGTGGTGTGTCATTTACACCTATAAGTTTAGTCGTACAGTTCCCAGATTTACTGCTGTGATTCAGAAGCCTTCCAAGGCGACCCGATTCTGCTGTGGCGTCAACACTGGAAAAGAATACAGATTCTCTGTAATGTATTTTGAAATTTGCATCCAATAAATTCTATAGTGCTTTCTCATATATCTATCCAACTGTCATGTCACCCATAACCATCCACAAAAATGTGATAGACACTAAATTTTCTCCACAAATTTAGCATTATTTTCCTTTACTGAAGTCAGTCTTCCATGTTGTAACGACCAAGATATTGAAAGCATGTTGCTGACAAAGTAAAATGGCAACATCGTTAATAATAATAATAACATAAATATAAATAAAAGAATGACAAGAAAGCTTCCCCAGTCAATCTTGCCTTTTCCATTGTCTTTAATGTACAAATACTATGTCTATTGTGTAAAATATGATACAAACCAGTATTTTTTGTTCTTGAAGACAAAGTAGTACATGTAGCACCCATACTTGGAATCTGTGGCATATTTTGCATCCCTTCTCTTAGCCTCCTCAATGTCTATCAAGTCCCCTGCATACTCCACCACAAAATCGCCTCTTTTAAATGGCTTGGTTGCTACCACCCCTCGACCTTTTCCCTCAAAGTCCACAACCTGCAATGTGCATTATATCAGTTATAAATTTAAACAAACACCATCCATACATCTTGTTTTGCATGGCTTTGAATTCTTTACTGTGCATCTACAATTGAAAATCATACAGGCATTATAGGACATTTTTGAAAATTGGTTTTTTATTATCTACAGTTGAAAATGATTGGGTGTTACTGGAAAAACTGCATTTTTATGAGCACATACAGCTGGAATGATTGACATACCTTTAGACCTTCTTCTTTTCCAGACAATATAACTTCATGAAGATGCTTCTGCTCTTCTTCCTGACCAAATAACCAAACAGCAGTATTTCACTATAAATGCAATTTTTGCAATATAAACCTTATATGTAAATATTTAGAACAGTTAAGTGACTATCTAATATAAGAACCAAAAATTGCTTTTCACAATCATTGTTCGACACAGCTGGAATTTGTATAAACAATTATCAGGAAAATTTTGAGATCAAGCTTTTTTCTTTACCTTTATCTCTTTCTTTGGTCTTCTTTCACTTCTTCTCACAGGAAAATAGTCAGTTACCATGTGACTTTTCACTTCTGTAGTGCTTCTCCTACAAAATAATAGTAATAAAAATAAAGTAATATAATAATCCAGATATATGAAGCAGTGTAAAAATTCTTTAGCTCTAAAGTGGATTTAAATGATTCTGTATTGAAATAATAACCACTGGACTATGTTTACACTAAATTAACAGTTCACTTAAGTGAATTATGGCCCAAATTTCAACATTATTAGTATTTTGCTTACCAACATTACAAAAAGTCATCCAAAGTAACACATTAAGGTAAAAAGTACATACTTCTTCTTTGTTGTCTTTGGTCTTGGTTGAGATGGACTGTCTGCCACACTGCTTGACTTCTTCAAACCTTTCTTACCCCGAATGCCTTGCTTAGACTTCACCCCTGCTGTTGCAGCAGCTGGTGCTGTTTCTATAAATTTAAACAAAACTTAAGTTAACCATTACCAAGAGAAACTGAATTTAAAACTACTTTGACAGAGCTTCAGATTTTCTTAGCTGCTCTCACAATTGATGGGCAACTCAATTCATTTTACTTACATGTCTGACCTATCAAAAACCCAACAGTAGTTCACTCAACAAATGGTATGCCACTACATCAACAAGACTATGACCCCATCCTTTCCCCATGGTATTGGGCACTGCATCTGTACTTGCTGATATTAGCTACCAACAAGCCATTTGCATAGATGAGATTCATACCTGGTTTATCACTTTGGATTGTCACTTCAACTTCATTTTGCTTTGAAGTCAATTGTGAGTTGGGTATACTGTCACTTTTGCTGCAATTAAATGTGTGCTGGGCTGATACATCTATTACACCATCTGCAAGAAAAAAAATAATGTAAAAAATTATGAGATAATTAAAAAAAAATAAGTCAATAACACACACATACACACCTTACATTTACACACATACATGAGCAGTTTTATCAGTTCAGAGAAGCTGGAGAATCTCTGAGCATGTGCCACTGGCTTGGTACATGAGTTCCGGTTATACAATATACATCAAACATCATAAAACAAGAAGGATTTGAAGGACAGAAAAATACATTACTTCATATTCAAAATAGATGGTAACATTAAAGAACAAGTACCCAATGTCCATATGTCCCAGCTTTATCTTGTATTGCTGAGTGCTTGGCTTGGTCTGCACAGTGTTTGATACTGCTACTCCTGAATAGGACATATTTGCAATACTGTGTGTTGTAATACCAGGGCACAGGGGTCAACTTCTAGCACAAATCCAAAGTTTCTTGAAACTAACAGTGCCAAGGATGGGCTAGAAGAAGCAGGTTCCACTTTTATATCGACTTAACCCTGCATACTCAGATCATCTAATTATGACACCTGATTTAGTTTACCTGACTGAAGAAGAGGGCTTGGTTCCTTCAAAAGAGCTCTTTTGGGTAGACTTCTTTCATCCACTTCTTTCAGGGTTGTGTGAAAGAATTTTGTGATTCTTGGAGAAAGAGGATCTGAAATTTCTTTCTGATCTTCCATACTTTTCTTAACCTAAAAGCACAAGTAGTAGTACTGCTTTTGTAAAAGATATTTTTATTTAGAACTTATTCATCAAATTTATTCTGATCAAAACATGCTGTACATTTAAATCTGTTTTTTTTTTTTGGGGGGGGGGGGCTGATTGAGTGATTAATATTTTGCCATGTGCACTTTATTTAAGCTGTGTGAGACACTGGTACTAGTTATTGATATATGCACTATAGGGAATCTACACTTGCTTCATATGTACCTTTAAAACAAAACATGACAATCTTTACAAAACTGCATAACCCACAAAGTCTAGTTTAGACAGAGACATTATTGGTGTGCTTCATTACCTCTTGAACCGTGGTACTATTTTCTTTGATATTCTTCAGGTTTTCCTTGCCTCCAACTATACCTGCAGTTTTACCTAAAATTTAAGGAGATTTTACTTATCGAGGTCTTTGCAACATGATATAAATGAATGAAAAGTTTTTATTAAGGTGAATAAGCATCTTCAACACCAACATCCTGATCCAAAACAAGTTTTCAATGAGGACATTTGTACAAATACAGCAACTTGGAAACATGTGAAATTCTGCATGTACGTTAAATGTTGTAAGATTATACAATTTCTAAACGTATGACATTGATAGCTGGTTTTTTACTGAATTTTAATATGTACATTCCAGAAATTGATTTTTATATATTCTTGATAATACAAAAATAAAATTTATTAAGATAATTTTTAAAATAAACTGAACAAAGTACTTAGAAAATTGAATAAATACAAGTTGACTTGGATGTCACAGTTTGTGGTATCCTCTACACGTACATATATTTCCAATATAATTAATCTGAATACCAGAGACATTGATCAAAGTTAGTAGACCTATTTGATTGAATTTTGGGAAAATTGTAATGCAAACGACGAATCTGTCATGCAATGATTATGGATATTATTTGATCTCCCTATCAACTGACTGATAAGTACAAAAAAGTACAAATGACATGTAACCTCACCTTTGACCATCCTAAGAAAGTATTATCTCATATATGCCTACAAAAAGAACAGGGAACCTTTGCTGGGAATGGGAAAATATTTACAAACATAAAGTGAGCACAGACAAGGCATTTAAATGTTGACCCATTTACAACCGCAGCCTCAGGTTGGACAAAACCTGAGATTTTGATTGGCTGTGTATAAGTCACATGACCTTTTTGTCTCCTCAAAAAAACAAGTAAACATGTATAGCTTCGCTCCTATAACAACGACAAAAACTTTTTGTTTAAAGAATGCGGTGATTTCAAAGAGTCTAGGCGCAATAATTTCGACAGGCACTTTTTAATGCTAGAGCCATGTTAACAAAAACCTCATTTTCGATGTGAAGTTGGCCCACACGCTTAATAAAAACGAGGCCAGTGTGTGGAATGCGGAGAGAAATGGCGGATTGACCATCACCAACAGCAATAACAACGGGAAACTGGAGGGAGAATATTTTGTCCTTGTGAAATGAAGCTGAAGGTGAGTAGTTGTTTCATAGCCTTGACATGTTGAGACATGGATTTTTTACGTTTTTTAAACTCTGGCACATTAGCTGGGCACTCTGTGTTAGTATAGTTTTGGTCTATCTTGTAACCAAATTTGATATTTATTTACTAATTTAGCCTAAGATTCAAGTCCCTTTTTCAATTATTTCTCACGTAATCGTTTAAGAAACTGAAGCACATAATAGTGTATCAAACACTTCATAATCATTTCATTTTATTTGGACACAGGTCCTGTTTCAAAAAATAAAATAAAAAGGGAAAATAGTATGAACAAAATTTGGTAGATGGAATTCCTGGGCATATGTTGACTACTAGTAAACTGTAAGTGCTACTAAGCTTTACATCATGGTGGCAATGGTTGAAGTGGTAAGTGGGATGTGCTACTATACGTGAACAAGTACTTGTTCACTTGTGCCAAGTAATGACATCAAAGAAAACTGCTGACACAGCGATTTTAAAATAAATGTCAACCTCATGCAAAATGCGTAAGTTTGATTTGAGAGCCTTGAAGCAGTATATATATTTTTATTTAAGTAAGAAAAGATGAACATTATTGTGTGGAAATGTCCATAGGGGTATTAAAAGTCACATTACACAATTTTGTGGGATCCAAGAGAGAATTTTTCCTTTGCTTAAAGAGATAATAACTGTTCCTTTTGGCCAAAAAATGAATTTCCCTGGAGTAAACAACAATTTTGCTATACTTACAAATGGTTAATGAATCCATTTCTACATTCAAAGTTAGTCCCTTTTTTTTTTTTTTTTTTTGATAATAATTTCTTAAGAGATTATTACAGTGTATAGCCATCTATGGAGGTCACGGGGTCAAATGACAGGCTCAGATATCAGAATAATAGCTATTACTGCCGTTTTTTGTGGTAAAACAGAATATATTATATTTCTATGAGTTAATGTTTTTATTGTGAAATATAGATCTCATACGAAGAGTTATTATCCCTTTAAGTAGGAACCGTTTTCTTGACATAGAAGGCTAGAACAGAAGAGGGGACATTATCAGATGCCTGGTTATGCTGAAGTAATGAGTACATGTTTCACCTTGCTTTATTCAAAATGTCTCTATTATTAAAAAATAAATTTTTAAGAACTAAGAGAGAGACAGACCCTTGATTCTTGAAACGGTTTGCTTCTCACTCATATACACATATACCACATAGTTTCCATCTTGCCGACTTGTGTCATCTATTACATACCTTCACACTATATCTTTATATATACTGCTACATGACTTTTCTGTTTGACTTAGAAATTTTATCTAGAGTTAGTTGTTGATTTTTCATTATCTATAGATTTCATTTTTGAACTCTACCTTTATTTGGACTAGATTTTGAATAGGACAGTCTGATAAATCCTTCTAAGTTTGCTGGTCTGTGTGATTTTAAGGCTTTTTTTCTTTCTTCTCTTGTACTTTTCCTTAATTTCACACTTTTCTGATAATATCTAAACAGTACCTTTAAAGAAGAATGTAAGACAATATTTTGTAGCTTCTTTCATTAGGAAGATGATGCTGTAAGAATTGTATTGACTGGTGCTTTTGGGGACATGTAGTCATTTTTGTAAGCTAATTTTTATTATTTTTACGCCCAAAATATTTATTTTGCAGGATTGTAAAACAAATCTGCTAGTAAAAATGTATCTTAAGTGTGAAAGATCATGTTACTTTGTAAACTGTGCCTAGTGATAAATCCTAGATATCTCCCCTCCCCTTAAGTTTATATACCCTTACATCATTATGTAAGCTAATGTAATTTCTTATTTATGTATTGATCCATTATATCAGACATATCCTGAAGGACTGCTATTTTGGTAGAAGGCAGGGCTGTCATTGTACGAAGCTGCCATTTTGACCTCTTGAAGTACCTTGGAGAATTTTTTGACCACACCACAATAATCCAAATTGGATGTAGCCGTAGGTAGCGGTGGATAACTCTGCAACCACGGCAGATAAAATCTCCAAAATTGATGTAGTAATTGACAAAGGTGTGAAGACAATTTTGTGCTACTGATTTTTGATAACATCATTTAAACAATTTTTAAATGACCATGTATTACTAGTAGTTGTAATTTATCTAGGTATTAGTAATGAAATCTTAACAGAGTGCATTGTAAAAAATCAGTTGCAGTTGGTGTAATTTATGTAGTTATTATTGATAAAATCTTAACAGAGTGCATTGTAAAAAAAATCAGTTCTACTGCCCTATAATGCTCATTCACAATTTTCATTTACCTTAAAAATTTTTCTCATCTGAGCTAAGGTAGAACACCAAAAAACCTAAAAATGGCACCTTCACCCTCAAAACACTCCTATGACATCATCAGCAAAATGACCATCCTTTTTCTGAAGACAAAAAATTCATAAACATTTTGTGGTGGTATATTAGCAACCAGTTTTAGTTATTTTTTTTAGCCTGATTTTGGCTAAAATAGCCTATAGGGCATAAAACTTTAGGGTATAGGTATGCAGTAATGAGTGGATGAACAAGACACTACTGTGTTGATCACATGCGCTCATACATATTTTGGATGCATGTTTAGATTTGAAATGAATTTAATTTATTTTATAAATGATGAAGCATTAAGGCATGGCAAAACTGGAACACATTTTATATATCATGGCTTTGACAATGTTTTAGTAGGTCAATCTCAACAAACAAAATGCTTCAATTTGTGTGTAGTAGGAGTAGATTTTGATATGATAGTGTTTCCTTTCTACTCCTTTCGGCATTTTTCATTTGTGCAGGGAAGACATAAGTACTTTTCACATCTGTTTGCAGTCAGTGAGAAATCAATGCAGTAGACCTAAGGCACTAAACATTATTTTCTGTGGATTGAGTAAATTTATGCTTATATCTATAAACTGGGAATCACGAAAGTTGTAAAATTCTCTACAGTGTTTACTGTATCATTTGGTAGTTATGCAATATAACAGTTACTTAACAGGAAAATACCGTATAATGTTAATAAAATGATTTGGCAATTATCTTTTACTTTTTCAGACTGCTGCTGCTACACCTCCTGCCAAAGTGACCACCAGAAGTGGACATAGAGCCAAACAAAGATGGCTCAGGAGTGGGCATAGAGAAACTGAAGTTTGGGTGCCTGTTAAAGTGAGTGAACAATATAAGACTGTTTTTTCATCACTAGTAAGGATGTCATGTTTGAAAATACTCAGAAAAATGAACTTTTTTTAACTTTTTCATGAAAAGTTAATTAATTGATTAATGATAATGATGGTGATATTGATAATGAATTGTTCTGAACAGACATTATTACAGAAACTTAAAGCAGCATACAAAGCGATTTTAGTTGGAAATTATTCACAAAAACAGCACTTTCACAGCATCTAACACTTCAAGTAAACAAGATCTATTTCAAATTTAACGTCTAACATGCGCCAAGTACATAGAAATAAAAAGCGAAAAATTGCACTTACATCCCACAATTGTAACATACCTTGCGTGTCACGCGACTCAGATACTAGCATATGAATGAGGGGGTGGGAAGAAGTGTGGGAAAACTGCTTAACCTACTTTCCGTCAGTGAAGGTCGAGTAAGCAGGCATACCACGTGACTGTCCTTATTAGTACCACCAGCGTATANTCGGAACCGTTTTCTTGACATAGAAGGCTAGAACAGAAGAGGGGACATTATCAGATGCCTGGTTATGCTGAAGTAATGAGTACATGTTTCACCTTGCTTTATTCAAAATGTCTCTATTATTAAAAAATAAATTTTTAAGAACTAAGAGAGAGACAGACCCTTGATTCTTGAAACGGTTTGCATCTCACTCATATACACATATACCACAGTTTTCATCTTGTAGACTTGTGTCATCTATTACATACCTTCACACTATATCTTTATATATACTGCTACATGACTTTTCTGTTTGACTTAGAAATTTTATCTAGAGGTAGTTGTTGATTTTTCATTATCTATAGATTTCATCTTTGAACTCTACCTTTGGACTAGATTTTGAATAGGACAGTCTGATAAATCCTCCTAAGTTTGCTGGTCTGTGTGATTTTAAGGCTTTTTTTCTTTCTTTTCTTGTACCTATTTCCTGAATTTCACACTTTTCTGATAATATCTAAACAATACTTTTAAAAAAAAATATTAGAGAATATTTTGTAGCTTCTTTCATTAGCAAGATGATGCTGTAAGAATTGTATTGACTGGTGCTTATGGGGACATGTAGTCATTTTTGTAAGCTAATTTTTATTATTTTTAAGCCCAAAATATTTATTTTCCAGGATTGTAAAACAAGTCTGCTAGTAAAAATGTATCTTAAGTGTGAAGGATCATGTTACTTTGTAGTTTGTGCCTAGTGATGGTGGTTTGATAAATCCTAGGTATCTCCCCTCCCCTTAAGTTTATATACCCTTCCATCATTATGTAAGCTAATGTAATTTCTTATTTATGTATTGATCCATTATATCAGGCATATCCTGAAGGACTGTGCTATTTTGGTAGAAGGCAGGGCTGTCATTGTACGAAGCTGCCATTTTGACCTCTTGAAGTACCTTGGAGAATTTTTTGACCACACCACAATAATCCAAATTGGGTGTAGCCGTAGGTAGCGGTAGATAACTCTGCAACCACGGCAGATAAAATCTCCAAAATTGATGTAGTAATTGGCAAAGGTGTGAAGACCATTTTGTGCTACTGATTTTTGATAACATCATTTAAACAATTTTTAAATAACCATTATTTAGGTATTAGGTATAATTTATCTAGGTATTGGTAATGAAATCTTAACAGAGTGCATTGTAAAAAATCAGTTGCAGTTGGTGTAATTTATATAGTTATTATTGATAAAATCTTAACAGAGTGCATTGTAAAAAAAATCAGTTATACTGCCCTATAATGCTCATTCACAATTTTCATTTACCTTAGAAATTTTTCTCATCTGAGCTAAGGTAGAACATCAAAAAACCGAAAATGGCACTTTCACCCTCAAAACACTCCTATGACATCATCAGCAAAATAACCATCCTTTTTCTGAAGACAAAAAAAGTCATGAACATTTTATGCTGGTATGTTAGCAACCAGTTTAAGTTATTTTTGTAGCCTGATTTTGGCTAACAGGGCATAAAACTTTAGGGAATAGGTATGCAGTAATAAGCAGATGAACAAGACACTACTGTGCTGATCACATGCTCTTATACATATTTTGGATGCATGTTTAGATTTGAAATGAATTTAATTTATTTTATAAATGATGAAGCATTAAGGCATGGCAAAACTGGAACACATTTTATATATCATGGTTTTGACAATGTTGTAGTAGATCAATCTCAACAAACAAAATGCTTCAATTTGTGTGTAGTAGAAGTAGATTTTGATATGATAGTGTTTCCTTTCTACTCCTTTCCGCATTTTTCATTTGTGCAGGGAAGACATAAGTACTTTTCACATCTGTTTGCAGTCAGTGAGAAATCAATGCAGTAGACCTAAGGCACAAAGCATTATTTTCTGTGGATTGAGTAAATGCTTATATCTATAAATTGGGAATCACGAAAGTTGTAAAATTCTCTACAGTGTTTAAAACTACATATCATATGGTAATTATGCAATATAACAGTTACTTAACAGGAAAATACTGTATAATGTTAAAAAAATGATTTGGCAATTATCTTTTACTTTTTCAGACTGCTGCTGCTACACCTCCTGCCAAAGTGACCACCAGAAGTGGACATAGAGCCAAACAAAGATGGCTCAGGAGTGGGCATAGAGAAACTGAAGTTTGGGTGCCTGTTAAAGTGAGTGAACAATATAAGACTGTTTTTTCATCACTAGTAAGGATGTCATGTTTGAAAATACTCAGAAAAATGAACTTTTTCATGAAAAGTTAATTAATTGATTAATGATAATGATGGTGATGATGATAATGAATTGTTCTGAACAGACATTATTACAGAAACTTAAAGCAGCATACAAAGCGATTTGTATGCTGGAAATTATTCACAAAAACAGCACTTTCACAGCATCTAACACTTCAAGTAAACAAGATCTATTTCAAATTTAATGTCTAACATGCGTCAAGTACATAGAAATAAAGAACTAAAAATTGCACTTACATCCCACGATTGTAACATACCTTGCATGTCACGTGACTCAGATACTTGCATATGAATGAGCGGGTGGGAAGAAGTGTGGGAAAGTTGCTTAACCTACTTTCCATCAGTGAAGGTCGAGTAAGCAGGCGTACCACGTGACTGTCCTTATTAAACAAGTCAATGCAGTGGACATGCAAAGAAAAAACTTTTTAGCACGTAAGAGGGATAAAAAACAGATGGAAGTACAACACAAAACTTGCACGAATAAAAGTAGGGTTATAATAGAGAGGGCAATGATATGTCAATAGACGTAAATAAGACATTTGACCTTCAGAAACCTTGTACTTAGACAACGTCAAATGATGCAATGGCCATGCTGGTTAGGAAGCCCTAATAGTATTTGTAGTAAAAGGTACGCGCACAGTGAATGAATTGTGCGCATGCAAATCGTTTTCGAAGACAGCAGAACTGAACGCAAAGAACGGACAAAAAACAAAGTAAAAATCANGTTCCTTATTTTGTGTATGTGGGGGTCTGTACGAATGCGCTTGCTCCAGCTGGTGGTACAATATTCGGAGGCGGTATCGCCTCTCTGATCCTCTAGTTATGATTTGAATTATAACACAAGTCGAAATAGGAATTGTTTAATGATATAAGGGATACAAGGCTTTTCCTAGCAAATCATCCAACCGTTATCTGGACTGCTGCTGGCATCACCTGATGGCCAGTATTCAAAGATAGCTGGATGACTTATGAATTTTTTTTTTTTTTTTTTTTTTTGAAATGATCGCTTTGCTTTCCTGGAATTTTGTAGGAAATTATAGGTGATAATGTTAGATGGCCTGTACCCATCCAATTCTGGGGAAAAACCTTGAAGAGATATGTGATGTAACCATGAGACATGTCAAGACCATGGTAACCAAAGGACTTCTTGTTATGTGGAGGAAATTTGTTAGGTCCACCACGCATTTGGATCATATATACTTAAGATTTTAAGCGGGCATACAAAGCAGTCTTAGTGGGAAATGATATACAAAAACACCACTTTCACTACATCACACACTTGGAATAAACAAGATTTATATTATTTACAACATCAAAGATGCAAAATTTATGGCAAAATGTGACTACAAATGCATCATTATAAGTTTCATGATTAAATATTTTCTTATTTTACGTGTCATTTAATTTTAAAAAATGCACTTGTTACAGAGTAATGTTATCTTTGACCTTTAAGATATGTAAATGCTAGCAGTAACAGGTGCAGTCAACCTTTGAACTAAGATGAAATTATATAGGCAAGATAAGATTCAACCAACCATACACAGGCCTTATAGACGGATTAGGTGTTACTTACACTACCTGCAGATCTTGTACCGCTAATGCCCATATTAACCACAAAATTCTTAAATTAACCAACACCTAAAATTATTTAGCACCAGCAAAGCAATACCTAGCACTAACATTTATCCTCTCTCGGCATTAGTGCTAAAAGATCTGCGGGCAGTGTTAGTAAACGACTAATCTGTTTATAAGGTCTGATACAGAGAGCGTTGGATTGATTTTTGTCCACAGTGTCAGTGGAAGTAGACAAAGCATCCCAAAGCATCAAGCTAAAATAAAGAACTGATTTATAAATTATGTATATATGTACAAAAATGAACACAGTTATGAACACATGCACACACAAACACACACACAAAAAAGAACACATTATGCTTCTTTTTAGTTTTTTATCAGTAGCATCAGTCTGCGACATTAACCGCTGGCCCGAATGCCAGTGGCAGTTAAAATTGGACTGGGCCAGTGAAATTTCTGAAAATCGGTCAGTTACTGGCCCTACTGGGCCAGTGGAATTTTTCAGCAGTAAAATGTACTCCAATTCATTTATAAATGATTAGGTCAAATGTACATATCTTTTTTTTTTTTTTTTTTTTGTAATAAACTTTTGAAAATCCCATGTTTTTGTTCTTATTTTTAATAGGAAGCCTGTTTAACCTCAGTGTGTTAATTTGAGTAATCTTTTTTGAAGTTTGGTTTGGTCAGTAGATTGTCAGATCCTGGTGGCTTGGATGGCATATAAGTTGAATTATACTGTATTGTTTCAAAGAGTGGTTGAAACAGTTATCTCTAGACTAAATGAGTAATGTGTATCCCTTGAATATAATTTATATTCAATGTTTTAATTATTGGATTGCTTTTCTGTGCAACCTAGTTGTAGAAAAGGTGTGTTATTGATCTCTTGAGCTTTTTATTGATGTGTCCTTGTTTTATATACCTTTAATTGATACAGATAGTTTGATTTATGGTGGGGTAGCAAATGATGTTAATATGTACAACCACTTGTGATGATTACATTTGCAAGTGGGTCACTGTCTCATTATATGGCCCTAGTGGGTGTAAAGGCTTTAACTAACTGACCTACTATATGAGTTGCATTCACAGTTTGTTATGAGATGTGTGAAAAAGAATATACCAGTCAGAAACATGAGGCGTCAGATAATGTTAGAGCTACTAATCCAGTGATTCAGAGCAAGCTTCTGCTGAGGTGGACAAAGAAGGCAAGTACTCTACAGTGCATTTTACAGTTTTCAAGATTCTGGCCAGATGTGTCAGTAGAACCTATTGGGTCAGTTTTTTCTTGCAGCTGGATTGACCCAACAAAAATGTGCCATTAAAGTGGACAGTAATGCTGCTTACAACCTTGCTTGGATAAATTATATATTCTTCATAAGAAGTCGCATTTTATTGAATTATAGCCTAAGGCTGTGGAACCAAGTTGCCTGATCATATCCGCTGTGGTACTTGAGCAGTGTTCCGTTAGTGGTTTGTAAAATAGTGCCGTATATTAAATCATACTGTAACCCCATAGAAGTCTAGATCAGAATTACTCATTAACTTAGAGTAGTGTCAATGATTGACATGGTAACATCTCACGAGTGGCATATAGTCATGGTTATTTAATTAAGTGGGATATTTATATTTAATATACTTTGTGTCTTTGAATATGGAAATATGAGCCTATTTGGAAGATGCCACTTCACTTTTTACAGCAATTGATGACTCCACTGGTTTGCAGGTTATTCAGTTTTTAGTCTTGTTACTGATTTTGATGTGGCAATTTTGCAATGTTAATGCAGTACATATCATTCAAAGAAGCTGCACATGTAGGTCATTAAGCATATGAACAGGGTCTGAAACCAGAGTAGATTTTAAATTTCTTCTGATAAGATAGTAGCTAACTGTGTTTAATTTAGAGAGTCAGGTGGTTCAGTCGTGTCCCCAGTTAACTGGATATCACATTAGAGTGGATTGTTCTCATTGATTGAGGCTACAGGTAGATAGTTAAACCAGGTGGGAGGAACACTGTTCCAGTTATAGGTGACAACTTACAAGTAGAACCACTGGAAAATGTCTGGGAATTATCCAAATGTAAGCAGTGTGTTTTATAATGCTTGGATCATATTACAAAAAGTTACACTGTCATCTTCCTTAAGGGTTTTATATCCTATTTTTTATCCTGGTTTGTTTGAATAGACAGAGTTTGAGTGAACAAAGAAGCATTGTCATTAAGTCATGGTTTGATGGATTATATTTAGTTATTGGCTAGTTGAGTTGCAGCTTTTTATATACATTTGCTTTGTGCAGATGTTTAGCTCATGAGTTGATATATTTGTACCAGTCAGACTGTTTTCCTGCAGTCTCCCAACTTAAAATTAAACAAAATTTTGCTGAATTTTGATGAGAGTGGGAACAAAAATAATGGCAGACTAGCAGACTGCAGTGAACAAAAGCTGACCGAATTTATGGATATTTTTGTGGTAGTTTTCTGACAAGTTCTGTGTAATAACATTTTTGCTTTATCATACTTATTCACAATGTTTGTTACTTCATTAATGCTTTCTAAGTCATTCTGGTGCATTGACTGTAGCCCTTATTGCTAAAAATTGGCAAAACCTTACACGGAATCTTGTACGTTTTCTATTAGAGACAACTGCCTCGTTTAGGAATAGAAATGTGTTAACAAAACCAGCTTAACAAAGTTGGCCGGAAAAAAATGTTCAGCAAAATATAACATGTAAGGCATAATGGGTCATGTTCCTTTTATCATGGTCACATGGGAATTAATCACTGTCAAGTATGAGGTTGCTCTCTGGAAAGCCTTTACTTGTTTCTCACAGCATTGCTAAAATATGTGGCTCAGATTAATGTTTAAATTTTGTCTTTCCACAGGTTTGGCATTATTTAAGATCATGTTTGGATGCAGTTTTTTTCCATGAGAATAAATTTTATTTTTGTTCAGTTTTGGCATTTTTTTCTGTAAGAAGTGTGATTTAAAGTTGACAAAATATGGGTTTTAGTTAAACCAATATTTTGATTTCTTTCAGGTGTCTGAGAGCCCAGAAAAAAGTTCCAGGAAATGTACATTGAAGAAAGTGGTTCCATTGACAAAGGAAGGGCAACCTAAAAAATGCACACTTCACGAAAAGGATGAAGTCCAAAGTGAAAACAGTAAGGTGTTAGAAAAGAAACAATCAACAGATACTGCTGTTACCACAGACAACATTGTTCCTGCTGATTACCAAACTAAAACCCAGAAGACCAGCAATTCAGCAGAATCCCAAAAGCCTGCTTTAAAACCGTCTCCCTCCAAACCTGTTTCTGAGATTCCAGTTAATACAAGTCATCAAGACTCTGACAAGGAATATAGCAAAACACCCAGTACTGTAAGTAGTGTTACTGGATCTAGTTCTCTATCTTCTCGTACAAATCCATTCTGGCAGTATATGGAAGCATCTTCAAAACTTCAGCTATCAGATTTAGATGCAACTATAAAAGAAAGGGAGCTCAGGGTGAAAGTTGTGGACATCATTGGGCAAGCAGAAGAAAAGTCTTCATTAGTACCTACAAAGGAGACAATGGCTAATCCGAAACTTGCATCGACTTTTGGAGGACTGAAAAGAAAACTTAAATCAACCAACTTTGGAGCTTTTAAGAAACGAATGCTTGAACCTACAAGTGAGGAACAGAATTTTGATGAACAGATTAGTGGCAGTTCCAAAGAGAAAGTTAAAGAGCAAATTGTGAGTATTTCTAAACTGGAAAAGTCTACAAATGATTTGACAGATTCTAAGAAAAACACTAACCCTGATGAACTGAGTAGGCCTTTCAAAGACACAGCGGTTTGTCAGAACTATGCTCAAGTTGGTGAGGTGAGAGGGATTTTAGAAGATTCCATTAACAGTCAGAATAATCCTACCACTGTTGAGGTAGAGAGATCTTCAAATGATACAAAAGACTTGCAAAAAAGTTGTAGCCAAGTAGAACTGAACGAGTCCTCACAGGCATTGTTAGCTCAGTGTAAACCATGTTTCATTAAATTAGTAAACTTCTTTCCAAAGCTAATTCAAAGCCCTGTGGCAGTACCAAAACTCAAGCTGAAAAAGGACATTCAGAGAAACTGGACTTGCAGTATGAAAGATTCATTACCATCTTTGTTCCCAAAGTCTGCTGATAAAGACAAACAATCATCCAGTATGTTCCCAAATCAACAAACCAAAGTCAGGAAAAACAAAAGGAAGAAGAAAAATACATTATCAGCCTCTGAAACTGTTCGAAAGTCTCTTACTGCATATGAAAGACACTACATCTCCTATGTCTCAGGGCATAAGAAGTCTGTGAGCAATAGTGCCTCAAACAGTGTTGCCGCATCAAATGCATCTGAAAGTCCTGTTGCAGGTAAATCCACCTCCAATCACGATAGTGGCTTGCCAACTTCTTCAGAATACACAAGACCATTCTCTGGCCCATTCCGCACATACTATATGTGTAAGAAATGCCCATTGACTCTTTATGACAAGGAGGCTATGTGTGAGCACATCTGCTTACATTTGAATATAAAGCCCTATGCCTGTAATGCTTGTTCAGTCAAATTTGACTGCCGAGTTGCTTTGGCATCCCATCAAAATGCAGAACACCCTGGGATAGGACAGCAGTCAAAATGTGTTATGTCAGGTAAAGAAGAGGACCACTTCATTAGTGTGCTCAGTGAAAAGCATGAAGAAAAGCAAATTGAGGTAGGATGGTTTCAGAATGTCTTAATTACAGCATACTAGTAAATTAGACAACTGTGTTTATTATGGAGAATTTTACAAAAAAAAAAAAAGAAAGTGGAGGGGCAGGTCACTCTTGAAATGGCATGATTTGTTTTGCACTATTGCTCAAATCGTTGATACCTCTCTTTGATACCTTTAAATCTAAAGTAAAAAGATTTTAGCTGTCTTTAAACATTTAAGGTTGGTCTTTTTATTTAATTCTGAATAAAGTAAAATTTATTGAAAATTTTCAGGAATTGAAGGAGGTCCAAAGAAACACCCATGGATTGCAGATCCAACATTATTACAATTTAGACAAGCAAAATGACACAGTAGAAAAAACTGCACGTGACTCTGAATCATCTGAAACCCAGCCAAATGTTCATTCTTATCCACCCACAGTGTCACAAGAACACACAAGTGAGGATGACAAAAAGGCTTCAGATGATCAGCAGCAGTCTTTTCAAGTGCCATCAATTGAAAGTATCCCTTTGCAAGAAAATACATCTGAAAACCATAAAATATCTGAAACCCATAATTTAAGTGAAAGGTTAACAGAAAGAAAGGAAACAACTGTGAGAAGCACCTTTCCAACACAGCCTAAGAGGACAAAGCAAAACAGAAGAAGAGCTGGCCGTAGGAGTTGGGCAGTGAGGTATAGAAAAAGGCGAAGAAATAGGTTTAAAAAAACAGGATCCAATTTGACATCCACCCAGTCCAGCATTCCAGTATCAAGTGCCCCTTTAAGTGAAGTTGATGGAAGTGTTGCTAAGCAATCTCCCTCTATACAAGAAGAGGCAGTTCAAATCAGTATTTCAGAAATTGTGAAAAGGAAGTCGGCTTGCATGGCTAAACCTGTTGCAGCCACTACCTCGACTGGTTCGAAGACAGTAGTGCAAGAGGACATGGCATCTGTTGTTTCTGCTTCCTTGAGTAATATTGAGGACATACAGAAGAATCAGGCCCAACCTGTTAAAACCGTGTCTCCCAAACGCGTTAGACAAGTAAGCCCAGAGAAAAAGATAAGTTCATCTGAAGCAATTTCAACAGCTGTTAGCCAGTTGCGTGAACTTCAGTCAACGTATGCTATACCTGCAACCACTGAATTAGCACCATCAGAAGCTTTGAATCAGCAACCCAAGTTTCATTCTATCTACAACAATGCAACGACATCAAAAAGCTCTGTTTCTTTACAGTCACAAGGGTCTCCTCAAAAGGAAAAGAAAAAGGTTATGTATGCAACAATAGGAACACAGACAGACAGTATGATTGATGATGAAGATGATGATGATGATGTAATATTCATAGGCATGGACCCACTACCAAAACAACCAGTTGCCACACAAACAAAAACCTCAGCAGAGAGCTCACAGATGGCCACAAAGTCAACACATCAGCCTGGGTCACTTATGCAAAATAACACTGCTGTTTCGAGCCAAGCAGCAACAAGAGCTTTACCCAACATTCCACAGAGCGTTGTAACAACAGGCAGAGAAACCAGCAAATCCAAGCAGATGCCAGAAACTACTGCAGCATTGACACTACACGAACCTCCAGCAAATCACAACATGAGTCCAAACCATTCTCTGCAGTCATCTCTAGTACCACAGCAGCTCAGAAGAGCACCGCTTTCAGGTGCTGAAAGGCAAATTTTAGAAGATGCACTGAGCACACATACCCCAGTAAGTATGGTCACAATACCGATGAGTCACAGTACTGGCTCTTCTGTAGATATTGGCTCTACATATACAGTTGCAGTGACTCAGGCAACTTCCATTATGACAACAGTGCAAACATCTGTACATGTCCTACCACAGCTGGGGAGAACTCCACTTAGTGATAGCCATCCAACTATTACTGAAGTCTTGAAAAAGACTGATAGACAGCTGCAACAGGGGAGCAATTCTGTTGCACAAACATCCAATCCTCCAAGGGGAGGATATCCTTCCCAGGTGGCCATCAATCGAGCATATCTTGCCCAAGCAAGGGAACAATCAAAAGCTGGTTTTGTACCCCAGAAAGATGGAGTACAGCCTTCAGCGGTACAGAATGAAATACTGCAAGCATTTAGACAACCCCAACAAAACATTAGACAGCCCCTGGCAAATCAAGCCACAGTTCAGCAAGCTGTTCAACAGCCGCCTGAGATGACTGGTGTAAGGCAACAAGCTTTTTCAGGTATAAGGCAATTGTCACCACAGACTGTTTCACAACTGCAGCAAGGAAAAACTACAGCATACAATGCTGTGAGAGCAGCAACTGACAAACAAAGTACAACTGCCCAAGGAAGTCTTGGATCACCAGGTTCACAAAGTAGTTCCATGGTTATTCCACCTCTAGCAATGCCTGCCCAAGCCATGCCCATGATTCCTCAGCAATTTCCTATGATGATGCCTATGATGTCTATGATGGCAGCTGGTCAAGGCCAACAAATGATGCCAACAGGCCAAATGTCACCTTTTATGGTACCTTATTATCATAATAGCCAGGGCATGGGAGTTGGTCAGTCACAGCAGCCATCAACTATTCCAGGTCAGCAGAGAGCGTCAGATGCCTCTCCAACCAGAGTGGTATCTCAAGTGCCAAGTAGAACCCAACAGGCTCCTGTTCACAGACAATCCATGCCACAAGCACAGCAGTATATGCCATTGTCCCAGCAACAGCAAGTACAGCAGCCGCAACCAATTACATCGCAGCAACCTATAACAACAGTTTCTGGAGCGCAGATTTGCAATCCTACACAAATGCAGAAGCAGTCTGCTATTGTCACCCAACCTCTGGTGAGACAACTTCGGCCACCACCTCCATTGATCCATGTCCCTAGGAGTCATTTTCCACCTACTACTACTTCAACAGCACATATACAGCATGAAAAACAGTCTGGTAGAAAAGGTGACCAGCCACAGGATTTAAGAGTACGTCAAAGAGAAAACAGCGGAGATGGCTCACCAAAAGTTACAAGCACAACTGGTGATCAGGATGCACTGTCTGCCAAAAACAAAACTAATAATATACCAGATTTCAGTGTATTTAACATAAAAGCCCCAAGGTGTCCAGAAAGTGACAAAACAAAGACTGATTTGCCAACTTCCATCCCTGTCAATCAGCAAGTGCCATCTCAGCCATTCAACCCTATGTTGATGCCACATGGAGGTGCTATGATGATGGGGCCCAGCTATCGGTACCAGCAGTGTTTTCTTGCCCCAACCAAGGATGCTTCTGGCAATCCAGGACTTCCAGTGACACTTGTCCAGTGTGGATTCTGTTTCCACTGGTTTGACAGTATGAAGAATTTAGAACACCATATGTATGAAAAGCGAAGTACTCACAAAGGGTTTGCGTGTCCCATTTGTAACTATGGTCCTTTAATGGAGATGTATGCAGTGAAGCAGCATTATGAAAGGTCCCATCCAAATGAGCAAGTGGTCTACTTTCCAGCCGCTAGGTCACCGCAGCTTACAGCTTCTGTGCAAAATGTCCAGGCTTAAGTTATGGTGCTGAGGTCAGGATAGAAAAACCTTCACTATTATCTGCTCCTTATCCAAATGGGTTTTTAGTTGTTTGAAGTCAAATTTTTTTTTTTTTTTTTTTTTGTGATGATGATGACGTGTCAACTAATTCAAATCAATATTTTGTATAATTTTTTTACATTTTGTAAAGAAATAGGTTTATTCTAAGAAACGGCCAGTAAACCGAGCCAAAGCATCTGCCATTGTTTGATAGTAAAGAAACTGTATTTTGAGAAGTAGAAAATAGTATTGAATGTCAGAAAACTGAACATAGGTAGGGTTTCTTGTTGTTTTTATGCTTGTGTTGTAACTTGAGCCCATGTTTAACGCGTGGTCTAGTTTTGTTTGTGTTGCAACTGATGCACTATAGATACCTTTGCAATCCAACACCATTGATGTTAGCAGTAGAACTGCTGTGTATGAATTCTTGTTGTTTGCATACTTCTTTGTTCTCTTGAGTAGATAAGCAATACCAAATAGCAATATGGTGTCTGGTTTCGATTGTCGTTCACTGTGCAAAATTTTATGGTTCAGCTGATCCGTAGCTAAATCACCAAGTATTCTTTTGATGGGAGGTCATTTGGTGGAAAAGTGAACATGTTGAAGTACATAGGTGTTATTTTATAATTTTTTATTTATCATGTTGTTTTTTCCAATTCTTTTTAAAGCGTGGTTTAACTTTAAAGAGTATTAGTAAGATGTATATGTTATAAGAATGTTAGGTATGTATACTTGGGAGAAAGAATAAGATTCCAATGATTGATAGATGCTTGAAGGAATGTTGGTGGAGTTCATTGATGTAAAGTGTGCTTAATGATTTGGCCAGTAACAATGAATTAATCAAAGAAAATTCTATACAGTGACAGTATCTTAAAAGTTTTAGATAGTCATAAATTAATTTTTTCTTACAGTACATTACAGTAGAACTAGGAACCATGAAACTGTTATATATCCTTTAGTAAAATTATATTTAATATAGGTATATTTTTATGTACAATGACATATAAAAGATAGTGATTTATGAATAAGACATTTTGTCTATCTGTACTCTTAATGTGTTTATGTTCTGTGCAAGGGATAGTATCATGTAAAAGGCTTACTTATGTAACTAGATATATCCATCTACATAGTTTGCCAAAAGTACTAAATTTTAGTGATAGTGATTTTGTTTGAAACTTGTATAATTATTTACTTAATAAGTTTGAACCCTTGTTATTTCTTGATTTTTCTTTTTGAATTAAATGTTCAGCAAAATATGTTTACAATTTTTAATGTTAGAAGAATATTATGCTTCATTTTTTATGTAAGCAAGTCAATGCTAGATTGGTTATATTGCTCCAATATATGGCCAGTAAGAAAACTTGATCCAGTGTTTTTTATATCATTTCTGTGTAAATATATATATCGAATTAAAATAGCTAGAATAACTTTCAGTACTATTCTCCTTGAGTATCACAGACACACAAAGTCTTATGAATCCTGATTTTTTAAGAAAAATTATGATGAAGCAAAGGTTTAAGTGAGCAGTGCCATTATCCTCTTGTGCTTACATGTAATTTTAGAAGAAAAGAATTTTGAATTTCTGTAGCATGAACTTCAAAATATTGTGGTTTTAGTTCCAACTTCAAAGGAGGACATTTTGTATTTTTTTGTATATTTGTATGAAATGTGCCATATTTTTTCCCTCCACCAAAAACAGTTCATATTGCATATCTATGTGATGGAATTATTGGACCCCAAGCATAAGGGCTGTGGGTACGTATGGTTTAACCATATTGCCATCTCATCCACCACTTGTCAGTAAATACAAGTCAGCTGTTACTGCATCTCCTCAAAGTAAATTGAAACTTCAACTTATGAATATATATGAATATATTTCAACTTGAACATGTTAGATTTTGGTTTCAATCAATGTATTTACATAGCAGTGACACTTGTCACAATGCATCCATATCCATATTTTTTTAAAATATTAAATGTTTAATATCTCCCAAACCACAAGAAATATGGTAACAGTTCCTACAGAAATCTGTCTGAAAGTTATGTTTAATATTCAAGTCTGACCTTCGATTTGACCATTGACCTAAATTTCAGTGGCAAATGGGATAAAATTTTTTTTTATTATTTTCCTTTTTTGTGTGTAAAAGAAATATGTTAGTGCTGATTTTCAGAAACTTAATAGACTCACACACTTATATTATGGTGAGAAATGACACTTAAAGTCTCTATTCAGTTGTGTGAGTTTGGGATTGAACGATGCATTTTCACAAGAGAAACAGATGCAAACTAAAAACTCCTTTATTAAAAATCACAAAACGTAGGGACCTGTTGTATGTTGCTTTCTGGAAAGCTCACAGAGTGCAAAACCTGTGGTGGTGTCCATTTTTTTTTTTTTTTTTTTTTTTATTGTTTCCTGTCCAATTTAATAGTTATCAAAAAGTATGTCACAAAGTATTGCCTTTCTGACCCCGTTTTATTAGTGTTATTGCCCTTTTATATGCATAATCCAGCTGGTGGTACGTACTTAGAAGGCAGCTTTGCCTCTCTGAACATCTAGTTTAATGTGATCCATTTTAAGGTGAAAAGAAGACCTCTTTTGGTGTACCTCACATGTGGGGCTTAGAACTATTATGTCATGATCAGCTTGTCTGATTGGCATTTTGTACAACTGCACTATTTGGGTGAAACCTACCAGTAGTAGCACTTAAATTTGTCAGTTAAAGGGCATTAAGGGCAAATTTTTATTATTATTATTATTATTATTATTATTATTATTGGCATTAAACAATCCATGATATCTTTGCTGATTTTGCTACGTGTTCCACCCATTTTTCTTTTTCAATATAAGGCTCAGTTTGGACCTCTCACTCATTTTGTGTAATAGATACGGTATGTTTGAAATTGTGTGGATTTGAAACAGATTTATTCACAATTTGTCTGTGATTCACCACTGCAATTGTTTTCCTATTTAAAAAAAAAACAAATTTTTAATGAAACTGATGGTATCAATATTTATAGGATTGTTTTAGGATTGTCCTTCAAACTAACAAAGATAATGTATTATATTTTACTCTAGTAGATGACACATGTAACTGATTTTAGGAATTATTAGTGAATCTAATACTTAAAAAATTCTGAGTTTAGACATGCCATAGCAGATATCAAAATTTGACTTTACAAGAAATGCTTTTTAAATGTCCTGCCAAGCAGGCCATTTCAGCTGCAAGAAAATGTGTCATTTAAAAGGTAGCATTAGTGTGAACCTCACGATTTAAATGTATAACAGGTTTGTTCGTTAGTTCTTGTTGTGCTGTGAAGCATTTTGAAAATGTCACTCACTGTATAGTCACATTTTGATTTGTGGAATACACTGTAGCCATCTGTTTCTTGCTTTCTTTGTTATTATTTTGACATTTTAAGCTTCTTAAAAATCAAATTGCCAGTAAAATATTGTGTTTTATCAATTTAATCACTACATTATGCTGCAATACCTCTTCCCTGGCGGTAGTTCAGTATTTCGAAATGATAAAGTTTGTAGCAGTAGTTGTATATGATAAGCATGGATAGGTAACTCTACTTTTGATCATATTGGTAAATTATGTGTACTTAATATAGATGTATCATACTAACACATTTTTTACATACAAGTATTATATAAAAACTTACACCGAGAAGAAACTACTGAGAAGCCACCGCCTATTTATAAAGCTTTGTACTGTATCAATGAGTTGATTGAATAAATTTGTGAAAAAAATCAGTCTTTTAGTGGATCATTTGAAAATTTGAGCATTTCATAGCACAGCATTATACAGCCAAAGGTATTGCAATGTGAAGAACCCTTGTACGGTTCTATATTATTGTCAGTCACCACACTTCGTCTCACCAGGGCATTTCAAAGATTCCTGTGTGATTCATACCTGGTCAGCAGCAATCTTCAGAAAAATGTTTCACTGAAAAAAGTGCTACTACTACCCTCTTGGTAAATTAAAACAAAAATAAAATTGTCAAAATGCCTGAAAAATTGGGGGGGGGGGGGGGGGGGGGTCAGGACCCCCACTAACTNGGGGGAGTGCATTTTACCATAAAATGTAGGTCAAAATTCAAGGTCATATTTTAATTGCCATTTTGACCTATATGTGATTTTTTGTTCGAGTTCTATAGTAAAACTTGGGTTGCATATTTTCTAGTTTTGGAGATACAAGGGTCAAAATACTCGAAAAGTGATTTCACATTGTAATATTGGTCAAAGTTCAAATTCAAGGTGGATTACCAGAAGAGGATTTGCCATTCAAGTTTCTGCTAGCATTGGAAATATAAGGTCTAGTTAATTGTGAAAGTGCATTTCACTGGGGAAGTTGGGTCAAAATTAAGAGACAGGGTCATGTGAACACAATATCCAGTTTCCATCCTCAGTCGTATATACAGAGAAGTATGGTAGGTATAAGCTTTGACCAAGTCCCTCTTGTAGTTTAAGAAGACAAATGTGACAAATAGTTCTGTTGATGGATACATGGATGAGACTGCCATTTAAGAAGAAAAAGCCTAAAAAAATAGCATGGGTTCTGAATTACCTCCCTTCCCATCAACAGTTTTTGTTGCAGATATTTTTGGCTCCCAAACAGTCAGAAATACAGTAGCTGAAAAAACCTTATCCCTGTGGATAGACAGACTGAAGAAATACTGAGGACGTAACATAATATTACCCATCAGGAGTATATAGTATAATTTCCGGGGTTTTGGAAACCAACTGGTTTTTAAGGAAAAATTATGCTCAATGTTTATGGGAGTTAACATGAAAGGGTTCTTTGCAGACATTTGCTAACAAAGCACAAATATTGGTATCATTAATTTTATTATTTAACACAATCTTTTCATAGTTATATGCATGAAACAAAATCAAAACCTATCACTCTTACATATAACTGAAGAATAAGTAAACGACATCAAACAAACCAGTAAAATAAATACAAAAGTACTTGTCACACCTAAAGATGTATGACCCCATGAACAGGCAACTGGATCCAAATAAATTTGCACAGAACTTTCAAAAAAGAAAAACATACTAAAACTTAACAATACTTCATGGTTGTACAATCCAAGTGATTGTTATGAAAAGTGCTTGTAAAATACACACGTAGTAACTGGCTAAACTGATATCTTTCCAATACTTACAATTTTAGTGAAAATATTTGATATAACTCGAGCTTAGGAGAGTTATTTCCACCCTTAACTTACCTTTAGTCTTAAAGACTGACATCAATGTGCATTAGATATGGGACAAAGGGAATTATTTTAAAATAATCTTATGTAAGATACTAATCAAACTATTCATAATTCATATTCACTATTAGTAACAATATTTATTCTTGTATTTGTAAAATGTTTCACAAAAAAAAAACAAACAAACATAACTAGATAACCTGACATGAAATGTGTCAACATGGCAGTATTTATTTCCACTGAAAAAGTGCAAGTTTACAGTTTTACTGTAAATAATACAGGTATTTATCATCAAAATTATTTATACATATAACTGACACTACCACACATAAAAAGATGTGTCATTATGGATTTCTATTAACTGGGAGATGCATTATTTTTATAAATGAAGTCAGGGATATTTAAGATATTTTATTTTCATAAAGCAACTTACAGTAGGTATGCTACGATATGAAATGGTAAAATACTCCAAAACCATCCTCAATTATTTATTTTCAATGTCAACCATTACCACTGTCTTTCACAATTCTCAAGGGTATTAAAATTTTAGACGGCAGGATTTAGCTGTTAGGATCATAGCAGTAGCCTGCCATCAGTCATTCAAATGGGCCCCATGTCTGCATCCAGCAGTTGTATTGCTTCTTCACTTCAATGGTGAAAATGGGGTTGGAACCAGTATCCTAGACTGCAATGTCCTTATAAGAGGCACTAAAATTGAAGTTTATTATTAAAATCATATTTATCTGTATACCTGATAAAATAAATTTGTTTCAATGGTTTCCTTAGATGGGAGTTTACAGTCAAACAAAACTAATCCCAATGATTTACCTGTATAGGCAACAGTTTCATCCCAACCAGGATTCACCCAGGCACTCTCCCTGATTTCCTTGCGCTCTTGGAGAGATTTATAGGCTAACAAAGTTATAAAAAGAATCAAAAGAAGAGATAATACCATATGTGTAATAACATTACGATAACCATGGCAATTATGCTTAATCTGAAGTCTTACTACAAATCCTTCTTAAATGTGATCTACAATATTATAGTGAAATTCCAATTGTAGAGAGAAATTAAAATTCTATATAATCCATTTTAAAATTCTTTTACTTAAAAACAACTTAAAATATTCAATAATAAAGATACTTACACCAAAAGTGATGGACTTGATGCAAATCTCCAATGTGTGAGAAATATCCAGCTATTGCTTCATTTCCAGACATACGGTGCTTAATTCCACGCTGCCTATAATAGAGAATTTATAATCCTTTAACTAAAAAATCCAAATCCAAATTCTCTCTTCCTAATACATCAACACATAATTATAGAGAAATCTAGTATTTTGGTGTTATCTTCACAAGCACTCATCAACTGCATAAATGTTCAGAATCTTTTTTTTATCAATGATGCCATTTCAAGTATTTCAGAAAAGACGAACAAGTAAAGTGAAATTTCAACCCACTTACCAAATATTACCCCATTCAATCATGGTGCCAGGCTGTAAAAGATACCACACACATCAAAAACACTTCTTCCACAATGAACATCCAGCTAGTTTACAAACATACATGTTCCAATGTAAATTTTCAAGTAAATATAGGAACAGCATATTCAATTCAGGAAAACGCAACCATCACACCTACCACAATCTAGAATAAAATATCCACTGAATAACGAAATGAAGAGGAATGTACAAAGTTTTTGAAAACTTGCCTTCAGTGTATAAGTTCTCATTTCATAAATATTTCCAGGGTCCTTCTGTACTGGCTCTGGCCAGAAACTAAATCGGAGAACTATCTGATTTCTGCGTGCTCTCAACATCTTGTTTCTTTGCAACCGGAAGTCAATGAAGTCCTGAATGAACAATTACAACATGTCAACTGTGATTACTCTTGACCTGAGGGACAAAAGTGCTCTTGTTTCTTTGCAATCAAAAGTCAATGAAATCCTCTATATGTTTATCAATTCAAGATAACAAAATGTTTTTACACACACACCAACGCAGGCATGCACACAAGCACACACACATACACACCAGGGAACTTACTTTATCTGTCCTGTATATATATGTTGCATCATTCAACACAGGGTATCCACCTTCGTATTTCCATACATGAACTAAAAAGTAACAAAAACAGGTCTTCACAAAGACTTTTATTGTTAAATAAATTAAGAATAAAAAAACAATAATATTAAATAAATGAAAAATAAATAAATGAAACAATTAAACTGCTAATAGGGTTAAAACTGTGCCACTTTACTCGATTTAACAGAATGGTACATGTGAAGAAGTTTTCTATGTAGCACATACTTGCTTCATCTTGATCCCCAATCTCTACAGTCCAGCTGCCAACTAAGCTTGCTCCAGTATCTTTTGACTTCATAAGATCCACAAATGTACCACTGAAGATATAGACAAAAGGACTCAAGATAAAAACAAGCATTCTTCATCAAAGACGAACCTTGTAGAAAAGTAGATAACTTGAAGTTACTGACACTAAAAAGAGAGGATCCTGTCAAATGTCACAAATACCGAAATTACATCAATCTTAATTGCATTAACTATTCAAAATACCTAATCTCTACTTACAACTGCTTTAGATATGCTTCCATGCATTCTGGCTTCACTGAATGGACTGCAATCAAATAATACAACTACGAAATTATTAATATCTTTTAAATTATACAAATATAAATCAAGCTAATTCAAATCAAAAGAATAATCATTATAGAAAATCATTGCTAGGTACTTGAGATATATATACATATATAGCAAATCTATTTTTGATAATATACTGATCTTTTAAATTTCCATACATTGTATTTGATATACATCTCCTGGCTCTGACAACAGTTTAGATTGAGTCACATGAGTAGCTTCTATTTTACGAACAAACAAGCTGCTAAAAAGGCCTTGTTTCTTCCCATCTTCACCATCTGCTTGAAATGCAGGAAATGTTGTGGACAGGCACCTAAAAGGGAAGTGTTTCTACACTATTAAAGATATTATCCAGACATAAGTTTGTCAAATATCATGCAAAAAATGCAGCCTGGTCTTCATATTGCAGATTGGCATTCTTCTACCTGGGAAAAAATAAACACTGCACACAATGTTATATTTAAAGTGCATAAAAACATTTGTGAAATTCAGTCTGTTAAAAAAGATATGAAAAAGTGTATGCAGGGTTGCCAACAAAGATTTCAAAACAGCTACTGGTACATCTGTTTTCTCTTGTGTCATTTCTGATTGAATAATGCTAGAAAAAAAAAAGAAATAAGTGGCCCAAATACAAATTTCAAGCCTTATATATAAAGTTGGCAACCATGCTTTCAAAAGCCTGCAAGCAAATTGGATTTGGTGCATTCATACCAAATATTGGAAGGAAAGGGAGGAAGCAAGATTGGGGCACACACACTCAGCAGAGCACTACATGCTACCCAAACCTATGAAATCTTCTTACTAATTATCTCATAGACATTCTCCATGTCAGATAGGGCCTTTGACTGGGGCTCCTTTCCAGTCTCTACTTCACGAACAAATAGCTTGCTAAATATACTAGGCTTCTTCGTTCCTTCTCCAGACTGAGAAAGTGGCACAGATGCAGAAACTTTTCTGCAAAAAAATTGACATACCCAGTAAATAGTAGAATATAATGCAAAATGCTATTGCTAGTTGATAAGTCAAGACATTTTCCCATTAGTATAAGCAGATACTATAATTTTTTAAGAGTATAGAGGAAAAAACAACAAAAGCCACATTCTCTGGTACTTCCCATTTAATTATGTTTTAAAAGGAAAAAAGTAGTTTCAATAGCAAGACAATATAATATGCACTGTGAATAAATATTCGCCACGTAAGCACATATAAAGGTGACGATAAATCACAGAGAAAAGCCACAGGAAAACGTGAATTTTTACAACGTCAACAACTTAAGCAAGTCAAGTATGTGTAAACATCTTTTTACAAAATAAGGTACGTCTGATGACCGTTGTAAATTGTGGCGCATTTTTCTAACATTCTTTCGATCTGAGGGGCACAAGCTCAGAATAATACTTACCTTGAAAGTTGCATTACCGGACAATGACATTTTGCAAGTGCAGGTGATAAAGACAAAGTTTTACGCAGCAGAAGTGCCTTGGTTGGAACAGCCATTTTACTAGTTCGGTCAAGGTCGTTTGGTATCTTCGTCAATATCCGCCACCATTCGGAAAGCGTCGTGGGCATAGTAACAGCGCCATATTGGATTAAGTGACAGCACATAATCACTTGTACTGTTTTATTTATTAATATTTTTTAAGCCCACGGCCAAAATGACAGTTAATTTGGAAGAATACTTTGCAACAACTTTCGAGGACAAGCTCCTTGTGTAAGTATTTATTGATAGCAGAAACCTGGCTTTTAGAATTGTTGAGGCAAACTTAGGTCAGATTCCCAACTTGAAACAATCATACAATGTGTGGGGTTTTCAATAAAAACAACTTACTTTTTACTTTTAAGTGATGGTTTTTAGTATTTTATGCATGCACAAATGCTTGTAATCACTGTACACATACAACTAAAATAGAATATCATATGACAATAAATATCAAGACTTGATATTTTATGACTTGACAAGGCATTTAGACCATGGCATAAACCCTAGGGCAAAACAGCATGTCATGAAAGCTAGGAGTCTGACATGATGTGGCCAGTGTGGCAGGAATGATATACCACTAGGAGCCATAGTCCACTCCCCATTAATTTGTACAGGGGACATTTGTTCCCAGTAACCCCAATACTCCAACCTAAGATCTAATAAACGGATATTAGATCTTAGCTCCAACTAACCCTAATGGGACCTCGGGCTTCCTTTCGTTGGACTGTCACACCAGATTAGAATTGTATTATTAGAATTGTCACCAACTTTGCTGTCTATTGTATGCTGTCAAACTTTCCGATTTACCCTCTATTCAATTGATCAAACTGGCGATGTTCCAATGAATAAGTTTAATAATTCCTAGGTTGAATAGTTAGCTGCTAGCACTTTAAAATTTACATTTTTAAAAATCCTGAGTCTAAACAAAAAAGGTAAAGTTTCAGATGCATTGTAAGTGAGCCCTTATGTCAAATCATTGTAGCTGCACCTGGTGAAATGCCAGCACATAGTTTCAAATAGAATAACTTTTGCTGCATCATTTCCTGAAAAATGTTTTTTTTTATGCAGGCAATTTCTGATTATTCTCTGTGCTTTGCAGACTGGAGGGGTAATCAATAGATTTTATTTATTACCAGAATTTTTAAAAAGGTGCAGTTTAAAGCCTTTTTTCTGCTCCCCAAGAGATTAATTCAGGTTGTTTTTTGGCGTGTGGCCTTCATTTGTGTTGTGAAAGAAACTGGTACTGATAGTTTATATATATATATATATACGTTTTAGGGCATTTACTCTTGCTTCATATGATCTTTAATGTGAAAATCACTGTCAGTTTGGACCTACATTCCAAACAGAAGTATCTTTATACTTTTCCTTATTTTTCACCTCTCTATTCATGTATGCCACACACAACTGAAAATCAAGGGGTTAATGCTGCTGATAATGCTGTAGATTTAGGGAGTTTACTTCATCAACATGAAAAGCTACAGTGAAATCAAAATAACATGAAACTCATTTTAAATATTTGCAGAATGGAATGCATGGTGAAAATTGCATTCCTGTCTGAAAAGGAAAAGGAAAAAGCATGTGAAAATGAGACTAAACAGTACCCCTAATCAAGCACGAACTTCCACTTTTCAGGATACATGTACATATAGCTCCTGTTTTTATCATGAAAATAAGGATAGTCAGTGCACCACCCCTTACAGTATCTAAGATATGTTCAAGATTCTGAAGATGGTGGTGATATGGATAACAACATTTCGCCCCTCTTTTCATTGTTATTTCATTTTTTTTATCATTGATCTCTATTTTCAAATAAATACACTCAAGAATCTGCCTCCAAAGTTTGACAAGTACACAAATAAGACACGCTGTCATAAGTTATGGATCATATTATAAAAACTTTATAACAGCAGAAACTGCTTCAGTTTTAAAAATATTCTTTGAAATTAATTATCAGATAAATAAAAACTGAAATGACACCTTGGAACAACATTTATTTGGATGTATTTTAATTCATAAGGAATCAACCAATCACCCAAGTATGGGAAAAATTATTTGACTACACATATAAGAGAAACCATCTGATGAAAGTGACAAATTGATTGGTATCATAATGAATGCATTTTACTGGTTATTTTGTCTCATGACTGTATATTTTAACATATTTATATATACAAAATCAGTGTTTCAAATTTTTTATTCTCCTCAAATAGAAAGATGCCAGAGCGGGAAGATGACCATCTTACTCCTGCTACCCGGCTCTTGGAGAAGAGACGTGAAATGGCTGAAGTTGAACAGGCTCTGGCAGCACAAAAAGAAGAGTTTCAAATGAAAATGGAAAGTTTACAACAGAGAAGAGAGGAGTTGGAAAGAAAGGAATTTCAACTAAAAGAAGCTCTTTTGAAGTTTGATAAATTTCTCAAGGTAAAAAAAACTGACATAAGCTATTATTTTATTACCAAGTTCTATTTGATGATACTGTCCACATAAAGCCTTTAGCCACTATTTTTAAATGCTTACTTCAGAAGCACAAAGCAAAGAGAAAAAAGATAAAAGACACACACACTCACAAAAAAAAAAAAGTCTGGAGACATAACAGCTTGTGAATTATGCTTTCTGTTATTCACTATTGGCATGTAATCAGGATTGACTAATTACCAGTGAAACCATCAGGTGATTTCTGGAAAAAATTACTAGAGTCTCCTATTTAGACAGATGTGCTGATATGTTGTCTGTATTTACATTCTTATATCACATTATTTTTAGGAAAATGACTCCAAAAGGTCAAGAGCTGTCAAGAAAGCCAATGATGAGATTGATCTGCGTAAACAAAAGGAAAAAGACATAGACAAGTAAGTCATATATATTTCTACCATAGATAGTGTACAGTTCCTGTCAAATTGCTTGTAAACAAATACTCACAACATTGTCTGTTGGGCAGTGACTAGATTAGTGTATAGTAAGGTGTTGTTTTTTCTCTATGAACTACCTGGCACCAAGAAGACCATGTTTGGTTTCATCTTATCCACTGTTAATGGCAGTTGTAGCATAGAAAACAAGATAAATCGCTCACTTTTCACTTACAGGTTAAGAGAAGAGACGTCAGAGTTTGCCAAGCAGAGGGAAAAGCTCCAAACAAAACTGGAAAAACATGTTATCTTCCAGAAGTATTTAGACAAGGTCTTGGAGACTTCAGAAGAATTTAGTGAAATCCGAGAAGTGATTGCAAGATATGCAACGCTCACTGCTACTCATGAGGTAACCTTTTGATTCACAGAAGAGAAATCTATTCTTAAGTCTTCTAATACATTTCACCACTTACCCCACAAATGAATTATCAGGTTGCCCTAATGGTTCTGAATGTTCTGGGGGTCATGTAAAGATTTAGGTTAGTGTTAGCTTATCTATTTTAAGACCACATTACATGTTTCTGAATCCAGATTACATTAACAGAGATTTCAAACCTGGAGTATTTTATAGAAAGAAAATGAAATCATTTTTGATAAGGATCAGATTACTTTAAAGTCATTAAAGTGAAAAATATCATTTTGATACACAGTACTAGTACTATGCTGACCCATCAAGTTAATTTGTTTATTTATTTATTTATTCATTTATTATTATTATTTTTTTTTTTTAGGATTTATTGGAGAGAGATCAAGCTAATCAAGAAAAAATTGAAAAAATGAGACAGGATTTAATGAAATACACAGAAGTAAGTGTACAAAAGGAATACAATGAAAATTTAACTTTAATCCCCTTTGAAAATATTCAAGTGCATACATGTTTGCAAAGTTGTTAATTTCACAAATACTGGTGTTAGAAATATTAGCAAGTGTCCTGCATAAAAAAGTATATTATTATTTTGTATCTTATGCTTTGATATTATATTTCCCATAGGATAAGCACAATGAAATCTTAGGCTATAACAACCGTTTATCAAGCCTCCAAACAAGATTAGACAAAGCCCAGAGTGCTGCAGTAAAATGGGAATCAAAGTGGACCCACATCAAAAATACTGCTGCCAAGAAAACTCTTATATTAGGTCAAATTAAGATGTAAGTGATAAAATATTTCATTGCCACTGTGAATTGGAAATTTTCTTCATATGTAAAGAAAGTTTATTTTATATATTGATTATAAGTTTAAGGACCTCCCATAAATTACACAGGATATGATCATTAATTTTTTTTTTTGCTTCTAGTAGTACTTTTTCTAAGATTCTGGCCAGCTTCCATGTGCCTGTGTTTTTTTTTTCAGGGCCACCCATAATTTATTCATGTTGGTAAACAAACACCAGAAACAAGGCCAAACAGAAATGACAGAGGATACTAATGAACAGTTGAACAAGGTAAGCATTTTAACCCATGTGAAATTAGTTGTAGTTTTGTAAACAGATTTTTCACAGAACCGCCCAACTTTGAACAAACTGCTGAGTAATGCATGATATGAGTTGTGAAAATTGATAATTTTGGAAATAGGGAAAATCCTAGAATGTACAATTTCCTTTGATTTCTTTACAGATTCAGACATTCATCCAGGACTTGACACAAATCACTACAGAAATTAAGAGGTCAGAGGCAGCAGCTACATCTATAGGAGGAACATCAACACAATAGACATACAGGAATATGTATATGTATGTGACAGAACTGAGCATGAATGCAGAAATAATTTTAAAAGTTTATGGTGCCAATGTACATTGTGAAATATTTAACACTGTTCATGTATGGTTTGCCACATATTGATCATAACTGGAAACATTTCAGCTTGGAAGCAGTTTGGTTTTATTATATGAAAACAGTAATTTTGGGTGCAATCTATCCAAGTTAAATACTGTCACAAAAATGTGATATGATCTGCAGTAAAACATCCATGGCTTATGTTTATTTTTAGTAATAATGATACATGTAAATATAGCTATGACTGCTCTTATGATAAGTGATGTTTATGTAACAATAAAATCTATATCTGTTATACATGTAAGGTATCATTTATTTTGATAATGAAGACATATACGCCAACAGCGACGAATGCCTAAAAAAAGAAAATCCTAATGCAACACATTACTGAATACATGACCGTAGGGGCAGACAAGGCATTTCTCAAACCGTGCAAATACACTAAAAACGTGTGACTAAAAAATCTGGCCACATTCCTAAATCGCAGAGTACATCTTCTAAATAGCACTTGCACATGTAGTAACATTAGCTTTGAACTTGATATTTTGGTAGGTCATGTAAAGGATTGCATACAGATTTTTCGTTGACTCAAGAATTTACACCATGTAATTCATCTGTCAAAGTCTCTATATATTAGTCAGTACACATTTCAATGCTAAATCACATTAACAAGTATCGGGAGGATCGCCGCCAATTTCTCCTAAATTCAGAATGTGCCCACTAGATAACGTCAATATCTACCAAACTGATAAGTTATTTCAACGTCGTCTCTTAATTATACACATTCCACCGTCTTGGTTTTAATCGATGGGATCAATAATCAGAAACTGGCTCTGTTGCTTCGATTTGCTCCGTTCAGTTTGATCAAAGCCGAGTTTACAAATATTCTCATAATTTTGTTCTGATTTACTTACTTTCTGTCACTCCTTTCATAATAGTTACAAAAAATTTGACCAAGATCACCCTGATTTTTTTAGAGATCACTGGAAACTCTACATGCACTATCAGGTAGAAGGTGAGTTCCCACTGTCTCAAGAAACTGGGGTGCCATCGGTGCGTCTCACTACGCATATGTGGCCGTGCCGTTCTCTATCTTGATGTCGCACACCGCTTCACTCCACGCCCACAGCTTTTGAGCCATCTGTTTGTCTTTGACATGGGCTGGTAGTTCATGAACTTGGCAATCGACAATGAAACACCCAGTGAAGTCGTCCATCCCATCGGATAATGCGGCATGCAAGGGGGTTTGGGCGCCCTCGGTGGTGGAACGAAAACAGAGGAACGCAACAAGGCGAAGCAAAAAGCCTCCGAATCCTGGCCACGAACGCAACAGATCCGATTTAACGGGACCTTTCAATGAAAAGAAAAATATTATTGTTGGGAAAAAATGTACAACGTTTACATATGAACTTATTTTAGAGATATTTTTGATCTTTTTTTCTCTTTATTTTTTTCTTTATTTTATTTTTCTCTAACTCTCTCTCTCTCTCTCTTTTCAACTTTAATATTTCTTCAACGCTGTTTATTTGACAAGGAGAGTCATACAGACATTTGCCATGTCAGGGGTACTTTACGTACTTCAAGAAATTTGGCAGCATTTTCATGACGTAATCGGCACATTTCCTTTTCTCACCTGTATGCACTGACAGGGGAATCACCCGGGTGCCGTCTAATGTCTTCGCTAGTTCCGCGGTAAACAGCATGACTGCTAATTTACTGCGTCCATACGCGCCATAATAAGTGTAGCTTTCTGGGTTCTTCTCGTAATGAGGATCTTCAAGGTCAAGCGTGCAGGAATTTTTAAGGAAAGCGTCTGAGGATACGTTGATTATCCGACTAGGAGCCGACGCTTTTAACTTTGGTAATAAGAGATTCGTCAACAAAAAATGTCCTAAGTAATTAACCGCTAGGCTGCGTTCAAATCCGTCTTCGGTTATTGACCTCGGGCCTAAGTAACCTGAAAATTGAAGAAAATGGGCCTGTTGCACATTATGCTGTAATTCATTGGTGCCCTAGATTTTCGTCAAAGTAGTGAATGGCCTAATCATCTGTGCTTTTTCAAATTGACCAACTGTGATGAAGAAGCAACAACAAAAAAACACAAAAAAGTGTATACTATCATACGCACACCACAAAAAAGTGTATACTATCACACCGGATGCAGGCGGTTTCTGTTTTATCAATTTACCTGTCCAAAATAAACTAACAAATTAATATTTTCTCGCGGCAGGCCATTTCGTAAACGGACAAGGGTAAAAAGTATTTTCTCACCTGCATTATTAATCAGCAAGTCTAACCTATCCTCCAAACTTTCAAATTCCTTCACAAAATATCTGACCGAACGTAAACTGGCAAGATCGAGCTTCATGAAATGCACATTCGAGCTTGAAGAAAGTTTTCTTATCTCGTTGACGGCTGCCTGGGCTTTGATGGGGTTCCTGCAGGCAAGAATTACCTTGCAGCCACGTTTGGCCAGGTCGAGTGCGATGGCCTTGCCTGTTCCTCCGCTAGACCCTGCAACAAATGCTATGATTTAGTTTGACAAAAAACGAAGTATTCCAAATGGTACACAGCCTTCCCCATCTTCATCTTCATTTTTCACTGACAGAAGATGTACCGTAATCTAAGGAAATGGTCTTAGTTTGAATCATTTTTTAATGTTTAAAATATCCAACATCTCCAACACTGCAATGTCGCGTCAGTTCAAATAGTTTTATGCAGATAAATGCTGTTGTCTAGAGTTATGACGCTAATGGAGAAATTTGTGCTACTTTTCAGCTCTTGCATTCGGAAGGGATAAGCAAGTCTTTTGTTACAGACCACTTAGGCGAGTAACGGTTGAATAAGCGTATTCTCTAAGTGGAACATTAGCCGGGATTATTTGAGGCCGTTATTAGCCACGATAGTATAACTTAACACATATTGAGGAACACATTTTACACATCTTACAGAACATATTTCAATTAAACATTCGTATTTTCTTTTTCGTTATAAGCAGTTTTAACACTGACACTTATTTGTTAAAATGATACTTTTCAAATTGAAAGTTGGTTTAAGGTGAAGTTTTTTTCTTTTAGAAATGTGCCTTGAAATATAATTCTTTTCAGTTACCTGTAATAACAGCGGTTCTGCCATCCAGTCTGCGTTTGCTGGTACACCAACGCGTCTTTCTGAGGTAAAACCTTAATACAAAAAGCACCAACAGAGGTGAGAATATGACGGTCAAGAACAACCAGTGCCACATCATGTCTATCAAGATTACTCCTCAGCTTCAAGCTTGAATACCCCACTGCCTCAAAAGCTTTATTCCTTTTCCATCGACGATGCCGTCGTTAGGACCACTGCCAAATAACATTGAGCGCCTATCAGATTTTAGTTTACAGTCACATTGACTCACCCGGGGCGGATCCAGAATTCTCGGGAGGGAGTACACTTTAAATTTATCCCTGTAAATAAATTTTTTAAAATAAATATATTAAACTAGGTTTCGTATCTTTTTTGCCTATCTTTGGCAACAACGCATCAGAGTGATAATATTTGTCAAATTGTTAATGGTACGCTACCCCTGGGGTGCAACTTTGGAAGGGTCAGTATTGGCGTCGGTAAAAGGATATATAACACAGTAGAGCAGTATAGAAATTGACGGACATCAAATTTTATTTTGAGGCACATCTTAATTTCACCTGACTGTAAATCTTAACGGGTTTTATTAAAATAAGCCCATTTTAATTTCATTTCAATGATCAGGTGCGCCATTTCAAGATCATTTTCTTTATGTTACCTATGCGAGTTCTTGCCAAACGAATTTCTCATTTGTGATATCCCCTACGGTGATTGAAATTGCGACCAGTAGAGCGGGACATAACCGAAGTTGAAGTTGGATGATCAATATGATTATGAAGAGTGGTACGGACGATCTGACTGCCAACTTGAAAAGACTGAAAAATTTTATATCGGTTTTGCAGCAAACCTGTTTGCTACTAGTACCGCGTATCTACAATACTCATCTTTTTGCAACAACGCATCGGAGTAATATTTGTTTATGGTACGCTTACCCTACCCTCTGATATCAGGTGCTCCTAAAACAGTATACAAAATTACAGTGTGAGCCATTCAACATTTTTGTAACTAACTACGAGCGCACCCTGTGGTCAGAGAGTACGCTTACCCCCAGGGGTGCAGGTTTGGGAAAGTCTAGTTGATAACTTCATAGGAAAAACACGTTTAAACCTGAAACGTATTGGGGCAAGCACAAATTCGTCAAAGTTTTTTTTTTAATTTTCAAAAATAAATGCATTTAGAGAGGTAGTATTTAGCCCGCCGACCTTTTAAAGGCTAAGGGTTTCCGTCTGCTTTAATTTTAGTCTGCTATTTACCATTCACTGACGATTCCTGCGTGAATTCCAATCGCAAAATACAACGTGTTAATGTAAACAAAATTGGCGGTAGACGAGAAAGAGAGGTAAAATCTAATTGCAAAGAACGCGTTTAAAGCCAGATTTTAGGGGTTTGCTCGTCTAAACCCAGATGTAAAATTTTAAAGATTAGGTGAAACTAATTGTCTATAATAATTAGCTAGTCAGGACTATTTTTAAGATGGGCAAGTCGCTCCCAACCCAATTACTCCCCGACAATAAAGAATTATCGGGCGATTGGCAAATTACTTTACGAATTCTGCTTGTCCCTCTGTTCGAAAAATAAATTCAGATTTTTAAAGGTAACTGCCGTTATAGTAAATAAGCATTCAACCTTAGTACCGCTCTTAAAATTTGAAATATTTATAAATTCTAGGAGAAAATAAACGAAAATTACCGGTAAAAAGCTTTTCCACTTCGGGATGCAAATATAGCGGTAATACGTCCATAAATCGCTTTTATTTCCACATATAGCAGTAACGATTAAGCATAGCTTAATGAAATTCAGGATGACGCAGCATATCAGAAATAGATGATCAAGCCCTGTGTGGAACGCACCAGATTTTGGAAACGTGTGGCACGCAGTCAACAAATCCCATTAAATCCAAATCGAAGACAGCAAGGGATTTATGCAGGCATGGACCACTTCCTGAGTTTTCTAACGCCAGCGACATTGATGAATTAATTATCGGGCAAGAACACAATCACATTATTTGTACTCAATAACCTCCAGGAAATGTACAAATTAAAACAAATGAATGGGTGAACTATGCGGCGAAGAAGGCAAGTGCTTGAAAGCAAAAACTCTAATAAAGTTTCAAATACAATTTTGAGTTTCACCTTGAACAAGGCAGCAAAGCTGTCAAATGTACAGACAAAAAGCAGAAGATAATAATGCACAAAATAGGATACTGTCAATTCTGATGCAATAATACATTATGCTTAACTGCAAAGTCAACATCAAATTTAAATTATGCACAATAGCAATACCGATGAAAGTAAAAGCATAAGGCTTCAGGCCCATGAGAATTCAAGTTCATACTTAGAAAATGCCAGAATGAGAAAAATGAGAATTTCACAAAAAGTTGCATTAATTCAATAAAAAATGATAATCCAATAGAGCTGTTTTTCTTATTTGAGCTGTATGTCAATCCTAAGAATAATTCTTTTAAGCTAAAAAATAATAAGTAACACAGTTTTCTTTTTATCATAACGTTTGTGATGACAGTGCACGAAGTTGGCTTTTTGTCAATTTTGATGCGATATTACATAATGATTAACTATAGTTACCACCATTTATCTTCTATTAATAACATGGTCATTCAGAAAATGTGATTACCACTGGACATCATGCCCATGGGAGTTCCAAGTCTCACATTGAAAACGCCAATATGTGAAAGATAACAATTTCACAAACATGTACAACAGAAAAAGAAGCCAATTAGATTGCTTTTCCAACACAGGGTGCATTTTAGTCCTGTGTGTCTCTCCTGTAAGTTTAAGAAGAGTAAGTGACATGGTTTTTCTTTAATGGTTACTATAAAAGCAGTGTCCAAAATAGAGGTTTCTTCATTTTCGTTGCAATATTACATAATGCTTAACAGCATAATGACCATCAATTTTAATAATAAAATAAAGGTATCATGGATATTCAGACTAGCAAAGGTCTTCAAGCCAATGGAAGTTCAAAGTGACACCTTGAAAATGTCGATATGTGAAAAATTAAAGGGTGAGTGCAGATAACCATTGGCAAAGTGCCCATCGTCAAAATTTTTTAATAATTTGCTATTATTAAGTTTATGCATATATATGTTGTGTGAAAAAATATTATTTGGTTTGAGGCATCGTAACTTAGTATTTTTAATGAGTTATATGTAGGGGTGGGGGTTACCAGATTTACCTGTTGTATGCAGTCTAATATGAATCAGAGCTAATTATTTCAGCATATATCTTACATAAATAATTTTTTCTAATGAAGCTTGTCTTGTGGTGAAAAAAAGAGTTATATGTTAAATAATTGTGGTGTGGCACAAGTAAATGGGAAAGTAATTGTTTTTTTAATCCTAGAGAAGACCGGGAGGGGTGGTGTATTACGATATTTTCTCACAGAAACCATCACTGATTTCACTTTACTGTATAAAAGTCTTGTAACTAGAAAAACTTGTTTCAGCGTATTTATTAATTTTATATAACTTTCTCACAGACCAGCATTTGTTGGTCTAAATAATTGTATTGTTAACCAATACACATTTTTTATACAAGGCTCTATGGAATAGTAAAAAATGCTAAAAGTAAAAGGCTGTTACAGTAACACAAAAAATCATGTGTAAAAGCACTCGAAACAGCTATTTGGAATGTTTCCATTAACCATAAAATAAACAAGGTATAAATTGTACCAAAATAATGATAAGGTAAAAGTAAAAACTAAATGAGAATATAGTACACATAATAACAGTTATGGCCAATAATCTGTGTGACAATGAAAATAAATCACCTAAAAAGTACTTCATATATGATTATGTATGTGATAAAGACCTTGTATAGAATGCAATGCAAGAGTTATTTTATACAAAATATATAAATATGAGAATAAAAAAAATGTAAAGGAACAATAGATAATTAATCAGATGTGCTGTCTGAAACACTTTCTGTCTCGCTAATACTCTCACCACTTGATGTTGGTAAATGTGAGGCATCCAAACAGCCTTCGCCACAACATAATTTTTTATTGTACCCCTGCCTCATGGCAAACCCCATATACCACAGAACTGAAGTGATATGTGCACAACTTCCAACTGTCTTGGAAACCTGCTTTACACTGACAGTACCAGCCACTGAGGGTCTAGTTTTGCTATGGGAGGTCTGAATCCATAATGTGTACTGGTGGCTAGATGTGTGCCTTAATTAACTATTTTGGCTCTGATTAAATCAGGTGCATCCTTGCATACATTGATTTCGAACTGGCCATCTAGCAGATGCTCATCAGTATATTGGCTAGCTTGCTTTATCTGGTAAACTTCTGGTAATTATTATTGGCTGATGGTCTCTTGTTTGGACTAGGCTATTTACCAAGTCAATAGGTTTTCAGTTATCTCCTTGCCAACAAAAGCCATTTATAGCATTTTGGTGAAAAAAAAACTCTACAAAGCTATTACGAATAGCGCTGGTGTGGAAGATTAGGTCATATAAGTAATAAAACTAGGGTGTGTATGATGGAGCCTTTTATTTTACTTTTTATGCAAAATAGACGTAAAAGGGGATATCTAAACAACAATTTTGGTTGTACAAAATGTACTTTCATGCCCATTAGAGGGGTTTGGGTCAAGCCACCCTTATGCTTAGCGTTCGAGGCCTGTCGTTCCGGTGTCACGAAACTGAGTGTCCGTGTGACAGAAAGTTTGCCCTCCATATATTTATAATGGTTAGGGTTAGTCTGACCTAAGTGGGTCAAAATCTAGGGCGAGGCTCATCTGTACAAAGCGGACTCTCTGTCATTGGGGACTTTCTGGTACATGACACCGGACCCCCCTTCAAATAATCCTGGATCCGCCCCTGAAACCCATCAATTTAGGAAATTTATCTTTAATAAGAATATAAATATGTATCGGCTAAAATATTAGTTTTCATAGTTTTTTGTCTATTCCGGTAGGGGGTAGAAGTAGGGGAAAGATCAGACCTTCAATTACCCATTTTTTACAGATCTTCACAATCCCCCATTATTTGATTGACATCACTAAATAGGCTTCATCTTTAAGTAGCAAAACCACCTATTCTACGCACATCACACCAATGAAATCGAAAAGTAATCAACGGCACATGTTTCATCCACCTGTAACTCTCTGCCGTCTATCCATGGCCTGGTCACCATATCCCACGATGTCCCCGCCTTGCATATCTCTAGCGGGTATTGAACAGGTA